CGCAGAACTCGCAAACACAAAAGCAAAAATGGGGAGTGGGTTCTTTTTTCCAGCAGGCAGTAGCCGGCGTCGAGTCTCGGTTGGATCATATCTTGATGGATGAGGATGGAAATCAGACCTCTGTCACAAAGCCCACTGATGCCCAAAGCGAAGAACCGTCGACAAAGGCTCCTATTGCTTGTATGACATCCTGCACACATAAGCGACCCCTTAGAACTGGCTAACATCTTTTTAGCTGTTTCCCGCAGTTCATCGACCGCGCGAAGAAATGACCGGCTTCAGGAACGTCTAGCCAGAGCTATGATGAAGCAAAATGCCTCGAACCTCTCTTCTCAGTCTCCTCAGAGTCGAGTCTCATCACCGCCTGTTAGTCCAGCACCTAGCAACGGAGCTCGATCGAGTATGGACATCGACTCCAACGTTGCATCGGTGAATAATGCGGCGGAAGACACCAAGATATCACAGCCGAATGACGACAAGAATGCAGCCACATTAACCTCACCGAGGATAAGCTATGATTTCGGGGTATCACCACGTGTTTCAACGGACGTCAGCGTCGCAGACTCCGCGGCCGGGACCTCTGCAGATGTGGCTCAACCATCAACCGACTCGGCCAAAACTAGTCAAGAAATGTCAGGGTCGCAACGTAACGAGGCATTAAGTGATATTGCCCCGGGCGATAGCCCGCGCGTTAGCGTTGAATCGCCATCCGAGGTAACGGAGAGTGAAAACCCCGACATCGCTCGCCTGCAGGCTCAGCATAAAACTGCTGAGTCTCAATGGCAAGAAGAGATGCACGGTTATATTGAACGCATTGATGCGTTGCAATCGAAGTTGAAATACCTCGCTAAAGATGCTGCAGAATCTGCTAAAAATGCCGCGGCAAATGCTACCCCAGGGAGTGTGCAAAAGCAACTCCTAGAGAAAGATGAGAAAATTGCATTGCTTCTCGAAGAAGGCCAGAAGCTGTCTAAGTCGGAGATGGACCACCGCACGGTGATCAAAAAATTGCGCCAGCAACTTACCGAAAACACCAAATCCCTGACTGAGATGAAGAGAAAAACGGACAAGCTTGAGCGAGACTTGGTCAACTCCGAAGCAAGAGCCAAGCGGGCAGAGATCGCCGAGAAAAGGGCAACCGAAGCTTTGTCATCCCAAACAAAGTCGACCAAAGACTTGGAAGCTGTTACCAATGAACGCAATGCGCTCAGCCAAACTGTCCAAGAAATAAAATCGCAATTGAGTCGGGCGGTTTCCCGCGCCGAAACTGCCGAGACAAATGCGAACTCTGATGCTCTAGAGCTGGAGAGACAACGGGCAACGGAGCTAGACGAGGAGCTATGCAACCTGAAGATCGAGCGCGACATCAGTGAAGAGAAGTCGAAGAGGGAAATTACTGAGTTGAAAGAGAAGGTGGAGCAAGAGAAAAAGAGGGCTCGGATGCTCGAGGCTGAATTGAAAGGTGAACAGTCTGTCTTGGAAAGCAAGATGGAAAGTCTCCGCTCTCGCGCAGAGGAAGCTTCATCGGGGGCAACGGGAGAGACTCAGGCCAAACTTTTGCGTCAGATCGAGACCCTGCAAACACAGTATGCTGCTGCTAGTGAAAACTGGCATACATTAGAGGGCTCTTTGCTCTCACGCCTGACTAGTGTAGAAAAAGAACGTGATGATACTGGCCGACGTGAGGTCGACCTTCGGAAGAAGATTCGAGAGATGGTAAGATCTCATTTCCCACGCCTTGATGTACCACGAGATTAACCACCGTGAATTTAGAACCAGAAGTTCAAGAAACTCGAAGAGGAACTAGACAACGCGAAAGAAGCCGAGCACGATTTGGACAGCAGGCTCGAGGAACGCATGGAAGAGCTGCAGAAGCTGCAACAGAAGCTCGAGAAAGCGGCAGAGGACCTTGCCTCAACGCAGAAGGACATGGCCGAGCAGAAGAAATCATGCGACGCAACTTGGGCACAGAAGCTCGAGGAGGAGCGGGCCAAATGGAGAGACCAGGTGAACTCTCCGTCGCACCTACGTGGAGTATCACCCGTTGCATCTCTACGGCGATCGAGCACTCTCGACACCATGAACCCCGGGCTGTCGGACTTCCGCCCTCCTAGCCGGCGCTCATCTGTTATGCCTTTTGCCTCACCGGAAATTGGCACGCCGCCTCGACAAAACTCTTACCCTGCCTCCATGACCCAAGCCACACTTTCTCCTCCACAAATCAACACCAGTTCATCACTCATGGGTGCGCCCTCCATTAGCTTTGAGCCAGACGAGTATTTCGAAGATTCTGGAACTCCTGCCACACCTTCAGCGTACGGAGGAACACAAGCACCTCCATCGCGCGGTATTAATGACATAATCTCCGAGTCAACCGTTGGCGCCGGCCCCTCTGTACAGCTGGTCGAGCGCATGAGTGCCACAGTTCGCCGCCTAGAGAGCGAGCGCGCCGGCTCCAAGGACGAGTTGGCCCGCGTGACGACTCAGCGCGATGAAGCTCGGCAGCAAGTCGTGGACCTTATGCGTGAGCTTGAAGAGAAGCAGCACTCGGATTCCCGTGTGCAGGAGCTTGAAGCTGAACTCGAAAGCCTTGACCAGCGCTATCAGACTACTCTTGAGATGCTGGGCGAGAAGAGCGAACAGGTTGACGAACTTAACGCTGATATCGCTGATCTCAAAAAGATCTATCGCGAGCTGGTTGACAGTACTATGAAATGAGGGCGAATTGGTCAAATGTTTACGTACCACTTAGTGAGCCACCAGCTGGACACTGCTTGGATTTCATGCTTTGAATCAAACCAATCGGGTTTGTAAATAGAATATACCTGTGTTGTACAAATTAACCCATGTCATACAACGAATTGCATCGCAGTACGCCTTCCATTTTAGGCGAGTCAGTCATCCTTGCAAATGTCCTAAAAAATGAGGCTTCCCGCCTTTACGATGATTCTGGCTCTAACGGCCTTCTCTTGCCAATATTAAAGCAATTCTCATTGACCAGCAAATTTCTAGTATCTATTTGCATGCCACTTTTTCGCCTCTAGCTTTCTATGTTGCTACGGCGATACTGGACCGTAGCCCACAGGCGGAATCGGAGATCACGGCAATTTCTAAGAAACGCTCATACGATTCATAAAATTGCTATATATGGACATGAAAGTATCAAGAAGACGAGGAATGCACAGAGCTCGCAGCCTCTGGCCTAAACTGCACCAGCTGCTGAGCACTTTCACTCTGCCTCCTATCCCAACTCGCAAGAAGAACATTCAGCAGTTCATTGGCGACACCCAGCAACAGGAAAATCGCAATAACTTGTCCAAACGTCCATCCTTTCTCCTCAGGATCGAGATCGTTGCGACTGATAGTCTGTTCCAGCGACACAATCAAGTATATGCAGAACGAACAGTACGCAACCTTGTTCAACGTATATGTGAGCAGCGCCTGTCCATGCAGCCTCTCGGGTGGCTCGCGACGATCCTGGTAAACAGGATGATTAACCTCCACAAACCAATTCATCCATCCTCTCTTCTGCCCCTCAATCCTGTTTCCGGCTTCAGGATGTCGTCTTCGGTACCTAACATACCCACACAAACACGGCAGCATGCACGTAAAAGTAATAGCATAACCAGCGACAACCGCACCCAACGTCCCGAGAATGATATACCGGAAGACGGGAGAAGTGGCTTTAATGCTGACGCCAAAGACCACGTACACCGTATACTTGTTGCATTGAGGCTGGCTGCCAAAATGCGGCGCAGTCACCCAGACATAGACGTTCAAAGAGAGGAAAGCTGCCAAAGCCAGGATCTGGAGAACGGCGAAGAAGTACAGTCGCCACGGGCCGAGTCCTGCATATCGGCCTTTGCTCACCAAGTCCATGCCAAGTATGGCAAGAAGATGTACCACACATATTGCGTGGAAGAGTGTTAGGTCGCCCCGAAATGTCTGGTAGATTGCCGTGCAGAGGAGGGCTAGGCCTTGCAGGCCGAGGGCGGAGGAGACACCTCGTGAGAACTCTTCTTGATCTTCACCTGGAGCAAAAACGCGGAGTAAATAGCTGACGATTGACCCTCCTAGACAGAGGGCGTAAATCGATGCACGGATCTGTGGGTGATGATTTAGCTGGGGGCTCTTTTGTTCAAGGTCTCAAGTCAGGGAGCTAAATGGCGATAGGATGGGAATGATGACATATGAGAGAAAACTTACTCCAACCCCAGATACATCAGGGTTAGCCTCGATAACACAGGCTGTCGAGTTCATCCTGTGTGGCACAATATTTGTGACGACTTTCCAAGCGATATGTTACAGCAAGCCAAGTGGAGGGGTGAGACGGTCTATATCTCAATCTCGGTTCAAGTATCCATTATTGCTTTAACATGTTGAGCCTCTCTCGGTTTGCCTGACGGAAAGGCCAAGGAAAGCAAGGGAAAAAGAGAGAGAGGAAAAGCCATGTGCCCGGGCAGGACAGTGGCTAAGCAGGATTGCGCCACGAAAACCCGATCGCCAGTCTAAAAGCTCATTCTTCAAAGTTTAATAAACACAAAAAGGCAGCAGCTGAGTCTGCCAAGATGATCTTAATCGTACTGGGATTGGGTCGCCTCGGGATGCCCTGTCTGGCGCCCGTATGCTTACTGCATTTACCGCTAAGCCCGGATTAGGGCTCCTAGGAGGAGCGCCAGAGACTTAGTCTCGGCAAATGAGTTGCTTGATTGGTCAATCGAGAACTATATCATCAAACTACTGCAGCCCTTCGTTTACGTGATTTCCCTGCTCATCAAAACAAGGCACTTTGCTCTTTCAGCCTCCTCCGGTGTCATCCATGTGACTCCACGAGGCTTTTGGCAGCGAGCAATGGGGGAGCTTGCCTATCTATCAAGCCTTGGCTAAGAATTGGATTTCCCTATAAGACGTTTGATCTCATTTGCAGAGCCGGGGTTCGACTTTGCCAATCGTTACTATTTCGAAAACAATACATAACCGAACAATTCTCCCCCACGAATATGGACGATCTCCCACTTCCTGCTATCAACAGTAAGCTCACAATTTTCTCAACCCCTAAGCCCCAATCAATTCCATATGACTCCCTCCTTGCGACTTTACCGTGCTTCATCCAAATACTTATTCTGCATTCTACTCTAGTATGGACGTTCTTCGCTCTAGCCGCGCTAGACATCGCAGTAAACGCGGCCGCTGGTCCAGCTGCAGTGGCGACCGCCGCGCATGTAAATGGGACTCCACTGACAGCGAGAGCAATGCAAATCGGTGCCCTCGCTGGAGTCACTAAATCAGGGGTATTAGCATTCGTCGAATTCGTGACTTATGCGGGATTGCCAACGCCCGCATGGATACTATTGGCTCTGGTGGCAAGCGGATTTGGAATATGTGTCTTAGTCACGGCGGAGGTTAGCAATTTGGTCCTTGGAGAAAGTGAGTCTCAGTCTGTCTTTTGGAATATCGTTCGTCTCGAGGCTTTCTGTATAATGCGGCTTGCGGTAATGGTTATGCTCTGTCTAATCATGTCTAACGGTATATAGCACCGAGCGCATTGCTTATTGCGGCTGTTGTCGCTGCTATTCCCCTTGCAGGAGAGTGTATTGGGATCTATCACTGTAAGTGCTCTTTCCCTCGCCCACAGCTCTTCATTTCTAATGTTGTTTTGTGCTTCAGCCGCTGGTGGGCTATATGGTAGCAAACCTCAGACTCAACTTTGTGTCATGGGGCTCGATGCCTTGGGAGGCTACGTTTTTGCTCGTATGGCACATAACGGAGGTTAGTTCCAGTGTCTTCTATATCATAAAAGCTCCGGGTGCAATTTTTGCTGCTCATGTTGTAGTCGTTGACATATGATTTGACTAATACTTGATTTATGTACCTGCAGGCTACGACGTCTGCCCTTACAAAGTTGCTGCCGCCGCAGGGGCCGTCTATGGTGTTATCACTGGTTTCTTCCATACTGTCCTTGGGTGTATCGCCGGGTTTACCCATTATGAAAGCACAAATGGAAATTATGAAATGCGGAATGTGTTTGGGACTTCGCGAGGGTATAATCCCAATTGGAATCAAAATGCCTGGCCTTAATTCTAATATTGGGCATCGGTTTAATAAATAATATTTGTGAGTGTTATGGAGGGAACTTTTCTTGCCTGAATACCAATATTCTGGTCTTTTACTTCTCGGGATATCTAGAAACATACAAACCAGAACTTCGTTTCAACATTTTCGCATGATCTTGTCTGACACTCGAGTCTCTCTTCAAGAAGACTCTTCTGGATCGATCGCTGAATTGTCCGAGCCAAAGTGGCACGTTGATCACTTTCGTTATACTGCAATATACCTTTCACAGCAACTTATTCCATTCACCACCCATCTATGTGAATACAAAGCGACAGCTATGCTTTAGGCCTTCGACATGTATCCTCACCTGTTTGACCATTCATACGTTTGGTTTTGGCCATAATGAGGGCCATTATGATCGAGCTTCGACTAGTCAAGCAAGGTATCTGAAACAGGTTTCTGGAAACAGGTATCTCGGCGCAGGATGCCTGTTGGTTTAGTGTGTCGACCGCAAGTTTTCTCTTTGAACCTGGTCGTCGGAATGTTTCAGAATTAAACCAGAGTAAAGGAGCACATGCCTTGTACAGACGCCCTGGGGTCTACTGCTGTGGCCGGAATAATCGTATGGTCTTTGTCTGTCGTGGGTCCAGCCATATGCGATTCGGCCCCCTGAGATGGATGGTTGGCCTACTATGAATGAGGCTGGAAAATGGTACGGTATAAATTGGCGAGAGCTGGGTTTGGTCTAGGATTCAAAGAGGGGAAAGTATTTGGAAGAGAACCTTTTCAGAACCAATGCCTGATCCTTGCTCCTTTGTTTAGGTACTGCAATACCCATAAGAGACAGGTTGGAGGGGCCATATGTGTTACGAGCCAGATACTGCACCAAATAGCACCAGATATGTTAGAGGTGCCTAGCATACCACTGTTTTATTCTGCTCAGATATGTGAAAACAGCAAGGGCCCCTGAAACAGCCTAGATGCAGCTTCGAGAAATTTGGCCGCTCGATAAGTCTAGAAACTAGCAACTGTATCTAATGATAGAACGACTGTGGCTGGGATTTGAATAAAGCCAGAAAATTCCTGATTGTCGAACAGGCGCAAGCTATGTATCAATTCTTTGGAATGTGAGACAAGTTTAAGGGTGAGAGGTGAGACATGGCCTAGACTACCCGTGAAGGGAGTGGATCAAACGGGGGGTGCATAAGCCACTTTTCTTCATTGACGTGCAGGTGGACTAGGATAGCTGTTTAGTGCTGTGTGTAAATGGACCACTCCAAAGTTGATGTTGAATTGAAAGGTTGAGTATGCTTTAGATCAAGTAAACCACAATATTCCCAATTCATTGTATTGTAGGTAGAATTCGAAAGCGATATATGTTGTACTACCTACCATGTACTATTCCAAGCTGTTTCGGAATCATGATCTCAACTAGTCTGCGACAGCTAGGGTGGGCCGTTATTGAGCAGCCCTACGTATTTTAGGACCATTAAATTACAGTAGATCAGACCACTTCACAGGATGTTTTTTTTTCGTATCGTATTCACTGAGATCGCAGCGTCCAGTATGGGGTGTGAACTGCTATATATGGTCACACAAGTGAAACAATTGTCTCCTGGGGATGCCTAACGCAGTGCGAATCCTGGAAGTCGCAAAAACGCTCCGAGTATGAAGCAAGAAACGTATAGATTGATAAGGGGCTAGGACGCAATAATGTTTAGAATATTCCGTACGGGGTGTCATAAACTATTCTCGGACCATAGTGCTAATTGAGAATAGTCCACAGAGTACGGAGTAGCGATTAGTGCTGTACTTTTTCTTGACACGGGTGATTGAGAAGTATACTCCGTACACGATGTACAATATAGAGTTTGATCCTCGAGTATTGCACTGGAGCAAGGAGCACATCACTGTCCAACCAGTTCCAGGCGCAAAAAACAATATAAATTGCAAGTCATTTCTTTTAAGGTGGGGTCTTCAGTGCTGAGCAACGTAGGACTCATCTCTCTAATCGTACTCTCTATATCTGTGGGTTATATGAAAAAAATAAGGACAAACTATAACAACATTGGCCAACTTCCTGATGTGACACTATGCAGGAACAGGTTCATTAGTACTTAGGCGCTTGGCCCGTTGAAGCAACACATGCCGGCCCACGCGCTGGCCCGAGTGTCTGGCGAGACGCCTTGTTGATCGGCGCCTTGCTTTGATTGGACATGGTCAAAGGTTTAGCGTGCAGGATTTGAGTGCAGCACGTTCTTCTGGTAGGGAATGGTCTTTCCATAAAATTGAGGAGCTTGGGCCAGAGAGGGTACTCCCGAAGGGGAAAAGGGGCAATATCTCCACTGAAGATGTTTTTTTACGACCCCTTAATTTATTACAAACAATTTGATATTGAGTATGATTTTAGATCCAGAGACAATATGGATTATGGGATATATAATATCAATTCGGTATACGGCGTAGTGATATAGCATGTACGGAGTACCATATACTGTACTCTGTAGTTGGCAGAATAGATTGTAAACTCGAATGCGAGAAAGTAGACAGGAAGTATTTTCCAGTACCCTTTGCATATCAAAGATAAACAAAGTTACAGAAAGGTACATGATCGGTACTCCGTACAAAAGGCGGCTACCCCTGAATCTGCCAAGTATCCAACTTGGGACGTGCTAACCTCTCCATATCCACGACTCAAGGGGTTCTTTGTGCCACTTGACACTATTGAATGTTCTATTTTCATATTTTCCTTATCGTATCCATGCAATCCGTAACTCCATACGGAGGGTATGTGGTATACACAATATACAGCATTTCACTCTGTACCGGACATATAGTGTGTGGTACTATACTACACAACAAAGGATGCCAATCATATCGCCACGGTGGTAGGTTCAAGCGATGTCGATCCTACCGGCCAAAACACCATTGTGAGATGTATTCGTACCAATCGAATCCATGCAAGTCCAGACCCACGCCAGCCCCCCCCTGCGCTCCACCCACGCTTACTCGTCCCGAAGCCAGCGCTAATGAAATGGAGAACGGGCGGTTTGCGCCAATCGCCCCGGCTTGTCAATAGGACTTTCTCCTTTTCTTTCATTTCCTTTCTCTAATACTCTCCTGAGAATAATCTTTACCCTTTTAGTCATCTCGTTGGCGCGTGCCATTCTCTTTCCCGTGCTAATCGGCATGAGCGACTGCCGATCCATGGCTATTTTTTGATACGGACCAGGGTGTTTCATGGCGTCTCCTCTTGGGCTCGGCGGCTCACCCGCCCATACAGAGGGCTTTAGTCCCAATTCCCCAACTACTCCTCCAGTGCAAAGGAAACCTGTTCCGAACAATGGTGATCCAGTGACTTCGGGCCCTGACCACCCCTCCTCTCCTATTTCGTTCGAGGGAGATAAACCCACTTCGATTCCCACTGCACCTGTGGCTAGACCACTCTCCCCTTTATCGGTGGATGGAGACTCAATTATATCGATACCAAAGAATCCAAATAGGTACGCGACTAGCATGACCCCGGCTTTCCCCTCTGCCGGGTCTTTTTGCAGACCCTCCTTTTTCTCCCCGGATACCTACAGATCCAGCATGATATGGCCTATACATGCTCTTCCGCTTCTCTAGAGTCTGGAAGGCTAATCGCGTGCCTTTGTCCCAACTTCCTAGATATTCTCGGGGACGGCACCCTACTCAACCCCTACACATCGATACCGCTGCATCCCGCCACGGCTCCGCCTCATACTTGAGATCCGTGCTCGAGGACGACGACGACGACGAGAGTCCCGACTACTTTGACAAAGAATATGAACACCAGTTCATGAGTGCAACCCCCCTGCATAGTCGTCTAGATAGCGAACCTTTCATCCCGGTCCTCAAGTCTCCTCCTCCAACGAAACGATCGTCACGACGGGCAACGAGTATGGCATTGCACATGCCCATGCATAGACCACCTCCTCTACATATTGACGTGGATTCGCGCTCAATGTCAATGTCAATGGGTGCGGGAGATCCAAGACAACCGAAAGCACCCGGAAACAAGATCAGCTCCTTCTTCGGCTGGAAGGCGGCGAATAATAATACAGCTACATCCCCTGGGGGCGAATCATCGAGCACCGAAATTTCCGACTCTGGTCGATCAGCCTTGCCTTCCCCCATGCCACCATTAGCGAATGTCCCTTTCAGACCCGGCTCTCCATACGATACCAAGACCAATGGACATAATCCTCCAGCGAGGACTCCCTCTCTAGGGGCTTCAAGTTTAAAGGAAAATATATTTATGTCCAAAATGGCAGAGATTGAGAATGAATTACGAGAGATAAGCTCCGAATTGGCGGGATCTATCCGCCGAGAAATGGATCTGGAGGATCTAGTCGAACGATTACAATCAGAAGGTCCGGACGTCAATCGCCGGACTAGTGACTATTTTTCAGACTCCGGTACTAGCTCTGTTCGCTATGCCTCGGACGCTGGGAAAAGTGAAGATATCGAAAAGATTCGTCGTGCCGCAGAGCAGGAACGTGCACAGCTCAAGGTCGAATTATCGCAGAAGTTACAGGAGGAACGGTTCCAACGGATGGCATCAGAGTCGCATGTCCAAATCTTGGAATCTCAAGTTCAACAGGTATGGCTGGCAAACAATGCGCAACATGCGACTGCTAACATTTATCTAGCTTCGACGCGAGAGAACGGATACGTCTGATTTGTCGTCAAAAACTAAGGAACTCGAGACAGCCCTGGAAAATACCAAGCGAAAGCTGCTCGAAGAGCGACAATCCAAGGATAACTTCGAGGACCTGCTTACTGCCATGCGAGTAGAATTGGAGCAATTGCGTAATGACCGAGATCAACTTCGAGATGGCAACCATCTTATGGAGGAAATTGAAGCTTTAAAAATCGAAAATGCCTCTCTGGCTCAGCTACAAGGTGGTCGATTCGCTTCGATTGCCGAGGAAGGTAGCTCACCGAGAAACTCGGCTTTTGGAATATCAAGATCGAGCTCCATTGCACGCAAGCCCAGCGGCTTAGCCCGCTCGGGCTCGCTTTCTCGGTCCAACTCAGTCAATAATAACAGTGGTGGTAAATCACCCGAAACCCGTGAATCCTTGGTTGATAAAGTCCATGATATTGAGGTCCAACGCGATGCCCTCCACCGAACAGTGCGGAGCCTCCTTGATCGTCAGGCATACCAGGCCCGCGACTATGAGAAGCGCACTCGTATGCTCGAAATGGAGCTTGCTCGAGCCCAACAATCGGGTCAGCCGCGGAAATTGGGCTATGAGAGAGATGTGCGCAACCTCCGTGACGAGGTGAATCATCTTCGCATGCGCGCTGAGGATGCCCTGGATGGCAAGTGGCAGTGCGAGAAGAACCTCGCTGGTCTCAAGATGGACTTGGACCGTGCTGAACAGGAAACTAGCTCTTTACGTGCGCTTCTCTTGGAAGACACTGCCGCTGGGGCAGAGTTGATGACCGGTCAGGAAGGCTTCGCTGAGGTTGTGACCACATCCACTTCCCTGCAATCTACATTCCAACAATTGCAGGCGGAACGGGCCGAGGCCGAGACGCATGTTGCGAACTCGGAAGAGCTTGCTTCCTCCCTTGTCCGGACTGAGGCACTGGGCAGCAAAGTCCATTACCAGCTTCAGACCAACACCTCTCTGCACGCCCGCCTAGCGGCAGCTATTGATAAGGGTGACAAAGATCAGCGGATCTCGGTCGAACGGATTAATATTCTGCAGAACCGCATGAGGGAACTGGAGGACGACCTGTTGATTGCGCAAAACCACTCGGAAGAAGAGATTGGCAAGCATGAGGACGAGCTTCGTTTGCTGAAGGAAAGCCAGAGTGCCCAGCTCACGCGGATGATGAATGGTGGCCGTAGCCCTGTCATCCTCTCACCACGGCCGCCGAACACACCATTCGATTCTCGCTCACCACGCTTGGACCAGACAACGAGCGGCGAGGGTGTACCCTTGACCGAGGTTGTCCAGTCCGAAATCCTCGAGCGACGAGTTAAAGATCTCGAAAAACTTCTCCGTGATGCGGATATGGAGATGGAGCAAGTTGTTGGACGAATGAACCGCACCCAAATCGATGTGGCTCAGCTTCAAACTGACAGGTATGCAATTCGTGTTTCTATTCATATTTTCTTTTCTCGTCCCATCTTTTACTAACTGATCCCACAGAGACGACGCTCTGCGCCAGACCCGCCAACTCCAGACCGAAATCCAAGCGGAGCGTGATGCCCTCAGAGGACTCATCAATGCTTTGTAATTTTGACAACTTCTTGCGCTATGTTCTTTCCTACTGCCTTACTATACCACGTCTGCATATGCATTTGCGCTCCCGTCGCCTGCGATGGTAGAGTACAATATCTTGGAGTTAGCCCGGAGTCTCGGGTTTTTGTTTTGGGTTCTTATATAAAGATCATGCGTGTGGCATCGCGCTGATCTCTTCATCAACTTGGGCTTGGGGCGTTCTGTCTTTTACACTCACGAGACTGGTGGTCGACTGTTCGTCGCGCTTGTACATAGAAACCGTCTCTATTTGGGTAAATATCTAATCTACTGTACAGTATCATTGTTATATTGATGAGATATATCGAGATCAGCTGAGAGTAATGCATAAGTGAGACTAACATCCAAGTAGACTCCAACATACTACGTACATAGGTTTGTTTAGTTTGCATCTTCTTATCGTTCGGGTGCCACGCCGCTTGGAAACCCCAGCTTAATTGTGACTTGCGCTCCTTGTCTTGCCTATCATCAATCGCATCGGAATATTTCTTTCGGTAAATCCTCTCCTACACTCCCCCTCAGCTGACCTCCAACACACCTCACGAAACCCCTCCTCGGCCTTGTCGCATTGCTCAACCACAAACAACTGACTACAAACAACGCATCGAGCTCCGGCGCGAGATCAAACAAAGCGCCCTCGAGTTAAAGGATAAAACTATCTGAATACTAAGTGGTCAGCGTATTCTCTGCCTGTCTCACACCGGCGACCTCCTCGAACATATCCATTTCCAAGGGCTACAAAGAAGCAAAGCTTTCAAACAAAGCGCCGGCGAGCCAAAGAAAACCACAGACCTGAGACGCGAGGACCTCTCTCCCCTGTCTTTCCCTCGTCAACCATCTCACACCAAAGATCTTGAAAGATCCCCAGAGACACAACGACCATGGACTTCCTACCAGGTATACACCTCATCCACCCTCCAACCGTATAGATACGCTATCACAACCCAAAGTTCCACAAACTAACACAGGCACAGAAAACCTCCAAACGGTCCTCCAAAACCCCACATTCACCTACCTACAAACAACAACACAAGACCACCTCACAGCAAAACTCTCGCACCTACGCACAATGGTGCTCCAACCATACCTAATCGAGCCCCTCTCGAATTTCCTCGCCTCATACTCTTCCTCCATGCCAGACCTGCTCTCAATATTCCTCCTCGCAATCATACTTTTCATCTCACTTAAGATTATAGACTACGCCTACCGCGTAGTCATGTTCTGGGTCACGCTCGCTTTCAGGCTCGTCTTCTGGGGCTCGATTCTAGGTGTCGGATGGTATGTCTACAGCGTTGGAATTGAGAATGCGGGTAGAGATTTTGGATGGATTTGGGGTGTGGTATATGGGTTTGTGGGCGATTTTCAGGAAAAGAGTAAGGTCGCTGCGGCGGCTTATGCAAAGAACGCCAAGTAGCCCCGGAGAATGGTTTGGTTTGGTTCATTGGATGGGGATGTGTAATGGAAAATGTGGATTGATATTCAACATCCGAGGCTTGTAGCCTTGCTGGGCGGCTGATATGCTTGTTTGAGGGTATAGGATGGAAATGCGCAATGGGTCTGCCTGTTTCTTCATTTCATTCTGCGGAATTGGTTTAGCGATTAACGACTTGTTTTGGAGTTCTAAACATGACAATATTCATGAATTGGTTTGGGTTTCATTATGGTTTCATTATTAATTCTCTCATCTAAGGATATGACCGAAGATCCATTTGCAGTGTAGGAAGCTCCCAACTCGGACTCTGGTAGTCTCAGCCATGGTTGGATTGCAGGTATGGTAATTCCAGACGCCGAGGAAGCTCCAAATGCTGTGTAGTCCGGCGCGACGGGCATATTGGAGAGCTTTTCCATTGTCATAAGGTCGGTCGCACAATAGCAACGTAAGATGAAAAGTGGAAGGGGCCTTTGTCTCAGACTGCTCCGTTGCCGGAAACTCGAGGCTGGAGCATGGGGTGTCATTGGGTGAAATGATAGGTTGTGGGGATCATGAATGTGCCGGGGATCGACTGCAATTCACAGCACTGCAGTAACCACGTATGAGATCCCTCAATCCTCATAGTTTATATCAACTTCATCCTTGGGTTCTCTTGGTTCCTGGGCCTCATGATACTGGATAGCATCATCGATATGGCTCACAATCGCCGCGACACTGTCCTCATCCGAGACATCCAATTGCAGGAACGAAACCATACTGAAATCATCAATCAATTGTCCGACAGCCCGGTTGAGTTGTTTGAAAGATCCGCCGCTCATCAAGGAATCCGCGGCCATGGGATTGGCACCTGCGGTGAGATCGTCCTCTTCCTTCTCTTGCAGTAATTGTACATCCACGTTGGTAAAACGTTTCAATTCCCGACGTGTCACCATATCACGGACTTGATCCATCTTGCTGAGAATGTTGACGTGCGGCATCTCCATCATCAGCATGGCGGACATGGCACTGAGTGTACCGGCGAAGAATTTGGCTTTGTCGATGACGAAGGTGCTTTCGAGTAGGTAGGCGGCACACATGTTGATATTCAATGGGCCCTGGCGGGAGAGGAAAGTTGTGAGGGTTGGTAGAAGAGGGATATGTGTGTACAGCTCGATCTGGCCGGGCATGTCGAAGATGATCAGATATTCTTCACTCAATGGCTCCAGTGCCTCTGATAGAAATTCCAGGTTCTGAAGCAGGAACTCGAAACAGTAGATGAGACCTCCGTTTGGCCCCAGACCCATCTCTTCCATCACATCCTCTAAAGTGATCAAATCACGAATGTCAAGATCTGGTTCGTAGGCGAAGGTCTCTGCGGCGGGGTCAAGGTTCACGTAAAAACAGCTGCGGCGGGTGGTTTGAAGGTGTTGAATGATTGCATTACTGAAGGTGGTCTTGCCTGCACCAGCAGGACCCATTACTAGGACACCGAATTTAGACATGGTTGTATATTGGAACAAAAAAAAAAGATACCAGAATTAGGTCCGATGGTATCTTATCACCAGAAAATTCCAAGCTGCTCTAAACTGCCACTAGTGACCGCCCTCAAATTGCGCGATCACGGCTGAGGAGGGACAGAAAGTACCGCTTACGGAGTTCAATAGTGAGGGTACTTCGGCAGTACCTGACTGGTCCCCCACTCACACTAACTTTTCACTTGTACCACCGAAGTAACTCGGAAAAAAAAAAAAAGCAAAACCCCACCAAATTCCCCCCTCCCCGAGAGATCTTCCTCCCTTTCCTCCCTCCTTCTCTCCATTGCTCTTCCCCCTTTCTTTCCCAGTCTTCCCTCATCACATCATTCACAATGGGTTCTGTTTCAAACAGCGGTACTTTCCTCTTCACTTCCGAATCTGTCGGTGAGGGTCACCCCGATAAGATCGCGTGAGTTATATACCCCCTAATTCTGCATTTCCTACACTCGGAGAGTTATTAAATGCATCAATTCACATTGTCACACATGTATTAACCCCTCAATAGTGATCAGGTTTCCGATGCCATTCTTGATGCCTGCCTTGCCGAGGATCCCCTCTCCAAGGTTGCTTGCGAGACTGCTACCAAGACTGGTAGGTTGATTATGCTTACTTGAGGCCAGATCTCAATCTGACAATGTTACACCAGGTATGATTATGGTCTTCGGTGAGATTACCACCAAGGCCCACCTGGACTACCAGAAGATCATTCGTGGTGCTATCAAGGACATCGGTTACGATGCCTCCGAGAAGGGATTCGACTACAAGACCTGCAACGTCTTGGTTGCCATTGAGCAGCAGTCCCCCGATATCGCTCAGGGTCTTCACTACGATGACGCTCTTGAGAAGCTCGGTGCTGGTGATCAGGGTATCATGTTCGGTTATGCCACCGACGAGACCCCTGAGCTCCTGCCCTTGACTGTTCTCCTCTCTCACAAGCTTAACGCTGCCATGAAGGCCGCCCGTAATGATGGCTCCATCCCCTGGTTGCTCCCCGATACCAAGACCCAGGTCACCATTGAGTACGCCCACGACAACGGTGCCGTCAAGCCTCTGCGTGTTGACACCGTCGTCGTCTCTGCCCAGCACAGCGATGACGTCTCCACTGAGGAGCTCCGTTCTGTCATCAAGGAGAAGATTGTTCGCAAGGTCATCCCCGCCGAGCTTCTCGACGACCGCACTGTCTACCACATTCAGCCCTCTGGCCGCTTCGTCATCGGTGGTCCTCAGGGTGATGCCGGTCTCACTGGCCGTAAGATCATCGTTGACACCTACGGTGGCTGGGGTGCCCACGGTGGTGGTGCTTTCTCCGGAAAGGATTACTCCAAGGTCGATCGCTCGGCTGCCTACGTTGCGCGCTGGATCGCCAAGTCTCTGGTTAACGCCAAGCTTGCCCGCCGTGCCCTCGTCCAGCTCTCCTACGCTATTGGTGTCGCTGAGCCTCTCTCCATCTTCGTTGAGACCTACGGTACTTCCTCCAAGACCTCCGACGAGCTGGTCGAGATCATCCGCAACAACTTCGATCTCCGTCCCGGTGTCATCGTGAAGGACCTTGATCTGGCCAAGCCCATCTACTACCAGACCGCTAAGAACGGCCACTTCACCAACCAGGAGTTCTCTTGGGAGTCGCCCCGTGCCCTCAAGTTCTAAGCGGGCTCTGCTTGATCCGGTGATTCCGGACAACTCTTGACGACTGTGATGATTTGCTTTGTTTTCAACAACTCAAAGCACGATGAGCATAGACTATAAAAAAATCCCTCATAAAATCCAGAAGTTGGTCTCCACCAGGAGACCGACTTCTTTTGTTTCATTATCTGCATGGTCGCGCAAATGACGGGCCTTTTCGGCGAAGACAAAATTCAACATGATACCACTTTTCATCGGCTGGGAAAGGAAGTTTTTGGCGTTTTTCTGGAGCGACAGTCTTCAACACCACATCTCTACCTCATTGTCCATGGCGCCTACCGAGGAAACTCGGTTTCGAGGGAATCTATCGGGAACTCTCTGTGAGAGTGCCCGAAGGTTCTTTTCAGCTTGGCTCTGGGCGTGCTAATCTAAACATTAGCGATAGATTCATAATATTCTCATACCTTTTTTTCACACATAGTCTTTAGTAGTATAATATCTTCAAGTACTTTGCATGTATCTCCACAAGAATTCAATTTCAACAAGACAGATTACTCCTTTAAAATCAATTAAGGACATTGATCCAGGCGGAGTGCACGTCCCGACGCGTGACGCCAGACCCGCCAAGATTCGAGCGCGATCTGTCGACCATATTGTACACATCAATTGCTGTCCCTTCGTTTAGAAAGTTGACTCTTGCGTTCGAAATTACAGGATGCCCACGACTCCCTAGACGCGACCATGGCCTCGCGTATAGTCCCCAACATTCTAGATCCGCTCAGTTCGTCCGCGTTGAACAAACTTCAAGAACCGACCCCTCCACCCATAAAGAAGCGCAAAAGAGACGACCAAGAGCTAAACGATGCTGCTGGACAGCTTGCTACCTCTTCCATCGTCATAAGAGTGAGTCATCTTTATAATTTGCCCAACACACACACTCAATCCATTAGTTGCTGTTGCTCACGCTCCGCAACTTATATAGGCTCACTCGGCGTCTTTATCCGATGAACCCTTAATCCTCGAACCAATTACCGCCCTCCCTCGTACAAGACTACCTCTTTCATGGCTGGACGACACTCCCGCCTCCAGATCCGATGAGCAGCCAGGCGGTCTTTTCACCGCGGACATCCCCACGCTGGAAGTCGACCTGCGCGCTAAGGCGGAACCAACTGTTCTCATTGTGCGCCTGATACCCAATGGCGGGCTCTACGTTGTTGAGAGGGTGAAGAGGGGCATATACTCGCTCTCCAAGCTCGCCCGATGGGTACACGAAGGTAATCTCTTAGTTGCGGCCAAGGGGTGGCATCCAACTGATGTGGCGGAGGGGGATGGCATGTCCGTTGATGAGACCGCTGCTATTCCCGATGGGCTTGACTGGTGGCAGGTGGCCCAGATCGATGAACCCCTCTCCGACGTTGAGGCGGGCGAAAAGTCTGCTGGGCTGGACATTGCGGTTGTCTTTGGTCCGTCTGAGTCTGAGGTCGGGAATACAGAGGCATCTTTTGTTGGTGTTGTAGAGCACCGGAGTCATTCGCTTGCTCCGTCGAGAAGCTTTGATGCCGCTGATGGTTCCTCCTTACTTCCTGAATCTCAGGGCTTAGAGGAAATCACCACGGCTATGGATGTTGATTGTGTTGAGTCTAATGTCGTGGATGTGCAACAGTCGCCCGAGGAGTTGTTGGACGGGATGAGAGACCACTATCTACAGGCTCTCTACGTTTCAAAGGTAATATGCTCTACTTGATATTGGGGGATTCCCGACTGACATTTTTCTAGACCTCTGTAGCATATTTTGCGAAGGGCCCGTTGACACGCTGCCGGACTGCTTTCCAGGCCCGTGACTCGGAACAGCCTCATAACTCGACGGAGCTGATTGAGTTCTATCGTGAAGCTATCCTCGCTACAAAGAAAATGGACCTCAAATACAGAGAAACATTGCCATCGGTAGTTCGCGATGCAGCTCTTGCGCTTTCTGATGATGGCGCGAAATCTAAAAAGCGGAAGAGTAAGAAAAAGAAGATGGGCAAGAATGGTCTTTATCCGGAGGAGGAAGAGTTCATCCACAGGTGGTGGAAAGACAGAATATTGAACGGATCTTCTGTGCAGGAAGCGTCGCGTGAAGCAGAGTCTAAGAAACAGATTTCAGATCTCCGACTGCGCGAGACACAATTGCAGATCCTGCTGCTTTTGGAGGTCATGGGATTGGAAATGACTATTGCTTCGGCAGAGAAAAATAACACTAACAAGGAAAAAGAAGTAAATGGGGAGCAAAATACGCCCAAGAAAGCCAAGACTAAGAAGCCTACGGATTTGAACGTGCTCCTTGAACTCCATCTCGATCGGATGTGCATTTGGCACGCTGTGACAATGGAAGAAACATCTGCCGCTGATACAGCAAAGGCTTCTTCTTTCAGTAGCAGCCATCTTTCGGGCAAGAAAGTTGAGAGTGATGCGGTGCGTGACTTCTGCACGGAAGTCATCATTCCATTCTATGCTGCACGTCTCCCGGACAAATGCAAGCTGATCACCCGCAAATTCGGCGTATCTGGCGGTGTCTCCCCAGCTGGGAAGAAGACACAGTCCTCGAGTAAATCACACCGCGTGGAACCCGGGGCCGAAGTCAAGCGACAACAGCCTGCACCTAAACCCCGCCGAACATTGCAGCGAGTGCTTACGGACGATAAAGCGGCAGCGTCTCATGCTCGGCACCCGGGACTGACTCGGTCAAGCACTGCACCGACCCAACACAATGCTAAACGTGATACTGAGCCCTTGCTGCCCGCTGTCCTCAGTGGCAGTGTCCGGGGTGGAATTCAGAAAGCAAAGCGTACGGAAAACCGCGAGGTTGATCTAAACGCCGTAGCACGACAGCATGAGGCCAAATTGAGGAAGGTCCAAATGCTGGCCAACCAGAAGAAAGAACTGGATGCTGCTATCAATGCTCTTCGAAAGCCGAACAGAGAGCTCGTCTCCAAGGATCTAGCAGACGATGCGTCGAAACGGGTTACAAGCGGCGGGGGTAGTTCGAGAAAGTCAAGAAACCCTGTGCGCAATCCATTCGGCGAAGGTGTACAGGTCATGGCGACCCCTCGAGGCAATCGAAAGAAGGATGTGGCGGCCAGGTTCCCCCCGCTCCCTCGGAGTCTAGTCCCATCCCGGTCATTCGCTGGTGTGGAAAATTCTCCCTTCGGCGACTCTCTCGGCGAGTCTCCCATGATGATCCCATCCTCGAGTCGGCGGGCGATCTCATTCTCTGGCGCCGACTCCGACCCTTTCACTAGTGACCATCCACATGGTGGACGCAGTCCACGATCAAGTCAGCCGGACGGGGCTATCCAAGAAACTCCAACCAGGCCGTCTTCCAGAATCTTCCAGAGCGATACCATAGCTGCCCGACGACCATCATCCTCCACTGGCAAGGGTCTGTTCAGGGTTCCCAACCTCCCAACCCCTCGCTCATCCACACAGCCAATGGTCCCAGGCTCCCCCATCCATTCATGCCCTAAGAACATTTCCACGTTCACAGAAACCTTGTCAACATCATCTCGACAATTCGCCCAGTCTCTCAATCACGCTCACACCTCGGCAATCATGGAAACACCACCCAAAAGACATGCACCACAGAGTGTGTCTACTCCGACTGCTGTGCCATTTTCTCTATCGCTTGATGCCATGGTCACCGATAGTCCCTGTGCTCAATCTACGCCTATTGTCATGGGAACCCCCGTCAAAGGCGCCGCAGCTGTGCCTGTAACGCCTGAGAAATCACAGTCCCGGTCGATATATGATCAGCTGGGCTGGAATGATGAGATGGAGTTGTGATTCTTTAATTTCCCATGCATACACGCCCAAAGGCACATTTTCATGTGTCATGCATTTATGTGGAGTTCTACAGTGTCTTTTCTGCTTTGCCGTGTATTCTTTCTGTTTTGCGGTATTGGGGTTCGGGTACACCTGGAGTTCGAAACGGCTGAACCACTGTCATGGCGTGCGTTGAATTCTTTTTGGTTATATCCCATCACTGCATGATCTTAGCCTACAGCAACCAATAAATTCTATTCTATTCATATCTCAGAGAAACAAAATGTCAAATATTCAGTAGTATTAGCCCATAAACTTCCAAGACAAATGAAGGCTAGAAATGTCCATATTCGATCGACTTTCGCTCGAAATTATATGGCATTTGTTATGTCTTTCTATCACGAAGGATCTTTGGCTTCAGTCTTTACCCAAATTGGGTGTCGCAAACTTCACACGATTGGAAAGACGTATCTTCTGGCTAACACAAGAAATTCCCCGACTCTCATTTATTCATATGATAGATGATGGTGAACAATGTCAGAATTGTGCCCAGATGAAACCTTTCACCCCCTGGAGCCCTGGGAGAAAGGTCTCGTCAACAAGCTTATATGAGCTAAGCACGGCTACCTACCGGCCCCGGATACATTCTTTCGGTACACTGGAGAAATCGCGATGCCTCGAGCTCTTTTTATCCGGCGTACGGAACTTCGAGAATGGCTGCTACACTTAGGTGCTGTGGATATCACTCTACCAATGAACACTGTATCAGCGAAGACCAGACCGGTGCCATTGTTTGGACCACCACATACCCTCGCAAAGACCACTGTCTCTCCGTGATCTGGTACGCCTTGTGCACACCTCGAATTTCGTAAGTCGATAGCAACACCCTTCTGGCAAACTTCGAATGCTGGACATTCAAACGTTGGACTCGGCTCCGTCGATCAGCTACCCCTCAAGCTCTTATATGACATGATGGTCCTCCGAGATATATACATTCTCTATATAAATTTCGGCAAATAAATCAAATGTGAAGATTGGCTCTCGGTTGGTATCAAAGGATAGTCTCAATTGACTAAATCGCTTCTAAGCCTTGTTCGAAAACAGCTTTCTAACGGCATGCGTATTGCGGCGAATTTGTGAAAAGATTACAACAAAAAGCAAAAAACATACAACAGTGAGGATTCGCTGGTGGTCACCCACCCAACTACTAACTCACCGGCGTGTGGCTTAAGTACGGCTGAGCGGACGGGAAGCCCTGTTTTCCACACCCTATGGTCGTATGTGCTTAGATAAAGGCTGCAAAGAACTATCAAATGCAATTATAGGCAGTGACAATAGATATTTTTCGTGTTTCTCTGATGTGTAGAGGAATATTCAGGGGCGTCCAGCCAAGAAAGCAGGGCACTATAGAGAGGGAAAGGCATCGCGATGTAGGACCCTCATATAGTAGATCTAGAGCCCCCATATGTGCATTCTTCTGACCACGTTCCAGACACCTTTTTCTATATTTAATAATGTGGTAATTTTGTTCTTCCAATAGTGGGAGAACATATATAGGGAAATGTCCAACACTGGCCGTTCCTAAGGTCAGACCATTGTGATTTAGAAAGGATCGCATGAGTTTTATTTCTAGGAGGATCTATAGACTATATGTAGATCTATGTAGGTCCGTAGATAGACTACTATAGCAGAGAGTAGTCATATATAGGCGCCTATAGTCCCTAGAGACGTAAGTCTTATGTTTGAAATAAGCTCTTGGATCTTAGTAGGATACTTATATATCTTATATTATTCGATATATTATTAATATCAAGTTATACATAGTCGCTTGCACAGAGTATGCTCTTTCCGCCTTTTTCTGCCGCCTTGAATAGACTGGAAAGGGGAAAACTATTTTATAGATATCTAAGAAAAAATGGGAAGCCCACTGTGAAGGCTATTGGAAGACTGCTGAAAAGACCACTAAAAAGACCACTAAAAAGACCACTAAAAAGACCACTAAAAAGACCACTAAAAAGACCACTAAAAAGACCACTAAAAAGACCACTAAAAAGACCACTAAAAAGACCACTAAAAAGACCACTAAAAAGACCTGTAAGAAAGACATCATAAGGCCGCAGAAGCGGCCGTCTACGCTTGTTTCTTTAAATCCATAGTCTAAAGGAAGTACTAGATTAATAATATAAGTCAATAGGCTAGGAAAATTAGTACCAGAAACATAAGTAGACAATTGACATAGGATCAAGATGCAAAGACAGTGAATGCATATAGGACCAAGCATTGCAAACCAACCATAGGTTGATGTATAAAGAGAGTAAGGGAAGTTTCCTTGGCCGGCGGCCGTAACCTGCATCAGAGGGTGTAACAATTGATGGTAAACAGTATAAGGCCAGAATGTTTAGTCAAAAAGGTATCGCCTGATGTTTCCAAGTCCCTGAATATCTCCCTCGGTGGAGTTAGACTTCTCCTTCTCAACCCAACCCTCAGTATAGCCTCCTCCAAAATCAATCAGATATGCATCCTTATTGACATCAATAAGCACATTGGCAGCCTTCGCATCTCCCCAGATGATATTATGTGTATGAAAATGTTTAAGTGTGTGCGAAATCTGATCAACCCATTTTCGTCGGAGGTCGGAAAATTTGGGATCATGTCCATCAATGCAATTAAGTGTAGCTCCATCACAATTGATGTATGATAAAACCAATCCCATGATATACCCATCATCATCCTGGACCAGCCCTTCCAGTCGTGATGTGAGAATCGAGGAATCGAATTTAGCCATATGAATCTTTGAATTAGTGAGAATCTCTCTTGCAGCAATACCCATGTCGCCCCCATAGACTATCTTGAAGAAGCTAGGCTGTGATCGCCCATGAATAAATACTTTGCGAGGTATTCCTGGCAGTGCAGCTGAATTTGCACTGATTGGAACCTGAACTTCCCTAGGATGGTAGACAGGGAAACTTGAGTAGTCTACAGAAGATGGTAAACAGGCCCCGATGAGATGATTTCTCATGCTTTTGGTGTTGCCGAGATAGACGGGAAATAAATTGTCTTCCACCACCTGTACAGTGTACTGCAATTCTTCTGCAAACAGACAGTCCTCGAGAGTGTACTTTTGGCTCGGGTCCAGAGGAGAAATTTCGCGGAATATTGGTAGAAATGGTTGCAAGATCCAATCATGCATTTCATCAAGGGGGTCTTCAAAATCCCCATCCGCATCTACCTCAGACTCATCAGGGATCCAATCTGGTTCTTGACGTTGAACATGTCGAAGATATTCGGCCAGAAGAGCAGGTGAGCTTTCGAAGCTGGATGTAAAGAGATCGACTTTGAAGCGTTTGTTGGAGACATAAACATTCAACTGCGTGTCTGTATTTTTGGTGCTCGATCTAAATGGACCAATATCATAGATGGGTTGTTGCCTTGCCATTGTTGGCCGTCGAGGAGTTGCGGCAAAAAGAAAAAGAAGAAGTATTGGATAAAGAAGTAAGAGGTAGGTCGAGGGAGAGCACGAGCGAGGTGTTGTAATCCCACGTAGTAATTAGGCCGCTGCTCCTAATGTACGGGCGACTATTGGGACTAGCGATACATAACCCTCTCATTGGATACTGCCTTACCGCCTATTATCACCGCCTTTTCGAAGCATATACCCTGATCTCAATTTGTATGCTAATTCCTACTTCTCTTTTACTTTTTACACTTATAAGCGTAGACGGCCACTTCTGCGGCCTTATGATGTCTTTCTTATAGGGCTTTTTAGTGGTCTTTTTAGTGGTCTTTTCAGCAGTTTTCCAATAGCCTTCACAGTGGCTTAGCTATAGTCAATTCACTAAATTCTCTAAGAATACCTTAAGGAAGGCTTTAAGTAGCTACCAGAGTAAGTGTGGAGAGGTGGTAGAGGGGAAGAGAGAAGGATAATTACGAAGTAAGAAGGCTTTAACGCCGAGGATTTATATAGGTACGAACAGCGTCACGTTTAGTGCTGATCTTTTAAGGCCTTACATACTATACTTAACCTAATTTTTCGGGTAAATATCTATTAATGAATGATATATTTCTGAATATAAGTTGGTATACACCTTTAAGCAAATTGATATAATTGTAGAGGCAAAAAGACTGTATACCATGATTTCAGTATACTTGGAAAGTGAGGGTGGATCAACAATTCTGCCAGGAAATATAAACCAATAAGGGGGTTATGGTTATGTATCGCTGGTCCCAATAGTCGCCCGTACTAATGGATTACATAAAAGCATTTAACCACTAACTAGTTAGGCTAAAAAAATCATAGGCACAATCGGAAGCTCCGATTGTCACTGCAGCGGCATATATACTACCTAGGTAGGCCCTAAGAACCCTTAGGGACCACAGTGTACGCGATAGAAAGTTGTGTGACTATCGGTCAATAGGTAAGTCCGGCAAATAAATAATCATCTTCACCGCCATCCCCTACGGCAGGTTTCGTGAGGGTCCTCGAGCGCGAATCAATATCCCAGCTTCAAACTAACCAACCGTTCAGTTATATATGCTTATTATAATGGGATGCTTTGGCATCACCCTCTTTCGAATTCACAGTCCCGCAGAGAGCGCTGATTTCAGCTCTGTCCGGGGGTCCTTGACATTATTTGCAGCGATATTATTGCTGCTGATGGCTCTCACGATCGTCAACGCCGTGATATGTATCCGGATTGAAGATTTATATTAACCCTCCTAAAAAGCGGAAAGCTTCAACCTCAATGGAGCTCGAATCCTAAGAGACACCTACGCGATTCCTGTTGAACTAGATTTATTGACTTTACGACTTTCTGCTCTTTTCTTGACCTCGTCCCTTATGTACATATATTGTAGGTATACTTGGTTTTTTTTTCCACTTTCCATTTATCCTCCATGGGATCAGCAAGTCACTCAGTCATACTCCAGCTCTTACGGCGCCAGAAATGGCATCCTTTTGTCCAGTCTTCATAGGCTACGATGCCCTCGTGGTACCTGGCTATGAAAGCCCTCATGCGCGCGATATCACAGCTAGCGTAGGAATTCAACAACCAAAGGCGCTTAATATCTTTAAGAGATTGGTTACGGCTATGGCATCCCTGCAGGTTAACTTATGATATGCGACATGTGACCGGTGAATTTTCTCCAAAGCTGTCGTCCAATGACTCCATTCAGTCTTACCAACTCTTACGATATCATAATCCCTACACATATGAAAAAATGCGATCTTTATTATTTTTGGGATCTCCTTGAGACCTTTCGGAGACTGCTGTCTTATCTTGACTGGAATTACCAGATTTTGACTACCCACAGTCTTCACACTTTGTATACTCTGCTTTTCCTTCATTATCACTACACGTTCCTCACATCCTTGTCTCAACATAAAAATATGTCCGACAAGAAAGGATCCAACCCGCTGCCCATCCCCCTTCCAGCGCCCGATGTGTACAAAGTCTTCACACCAGAGTTCGACACAGTAGCTTACGATCCTCTGGATCCCCCAAGCGGTACCACACAGGTATTTACGTTGAGAAAGACATGGAGAATCAGCAAGGAGTTTTCTTCAATGTCACCGGCGATATCATCGCCCAAAGCGGCATGCGGTTCGAAGTGAAAGACGACTATATTCCTACAACGGCCGAGTATTTTTACAGAACCACAGAGATTGGATGGATTCGCAAAGCCGATTTTCCGAGAATAAGGGATATCTTGGAAGCCTTGCCCCGACCGACCAAACAGCAGGGACTTGACTTCTGGAGCATGGACCCAGCTAAGCGGAACAAGCTTACTTGGACAAAGCAGAATGGGGAACTTTACGGGCCAGGCGAACAAAGACGACCAATCATCAAATGTAATGAATGGACACATCAGCTTGCGATTCCAAAATTGCGACACGAAGGAATTTTACATGGCTGAATATTCCGTATCGGGTTGTCAACGTGGCGCTGGCATTTTCGGCGTCAATTTTGCAATATTTTAGTTAAAGAATGATGAAGAATCGTGAATGTTAAGGCTACTTTCCAGATATAGTTGATGTTAAAAACTTCTAAAGCTCCATGGTATTCCCGTGATCGGACCGGCGAACTGGAGATTTGCCGAACACGTCCCCCACTCATTACCCCAATCTCTTTTCATTATGAAATCAGGTTCTGACTCAAGATGGGCACAGAATTCAAAGGGATATCTAGTAGGTCTAGTCAACAGCCCTCTTGCACCGCAGCGAGGCCTAAGAAAAGAGCCGTGGCGTAAGCATATCCAAAGGCGGCATCAATCCTTTGCTCACACTTTGCACAGTTGTCATCGGTGTCATGCGCAAAAGATCAAATGCTCCGGAGAAAAGCCATGCTCGAAATGCCGAGCGGTAGGCTATGAATCCCAATGCAGATATGCTACTCGAGATCGGAAGATACGGGTGAATGAAAGGTACTTATCTTCGTTGGTCGCTTCCAAATGAGTCACTAACTTGAATAACCGATAGCTATTTAGAGCAACTTCTCAAAGATAGCCAAGAGCTGCATGATCAACGAAATCGTTTGAAACAGGAAAGCCGCTCAAACGGACACGAGCAGAGCTCTCGGCTCCTACAAGTCGATGGGGATGCAGCCAATGCGAACACCGAGCCCCTAGTGCAGGGTAATCTGCTTAGTGAGAAGCCATGGTTTCAATCCAACGATACTTCAGTGATTCCTTCTTACATCAGCGATGCAACTTGCGTTGCTTTCGCCACCCGTTTGTGCCAGTCCTTGAAAGGGACCAACATGCCAATACCCCATCTTCCAAGATCGCGTTATACTGACGAGTCAACAATTTCATCTTTACTTCATGCGGACATACAATGGCCCGGCCTTGTAAGTGCTCAGCTATTAGTCAAGACGTCACTCGGTCATATCTTCCCGATTTTTCATTTGGTATTGAAAAGAGACACATTGGACATGCTCCATAGCGTCTATCACAGGGGCGACTTCGATAATCCGGGTATCAAGTGCAAATACTTTGCTCTTTTCGCCATCGCTCAAGTTCTTTCAACTCCTCGTGATCTTTCCAACAAGTCGAGTGTACCTGGCTTGGCCTATTTTGCCAAAGCGTGGAGCCTGATCCAGGTCGTCCCCGAGCGACCAAGCATGATTCATATAGAAAGTTTGCTCTTGATTGTCTGTCCCCTTCTCGGCAGTCACCTTGACCCTTGCTTACTCTCTGTAGGCTTTCTTCTGCCAATTTTTGAACCGCTTTCACTCCGCCTACGTTTTGATCGGGAATGCGTTACGACTTGGCCTCAGCCTTGGCTTAAACTACAACATCCCGCAAACTCAAGATTTACACCCAGTAGCACGAGAACACCGTATCCGGATATGGTGGACCATCTACGTGCTTGACCGATTCTGGGGCTCAAAGTCAGGATTTCCTGTGCAAATTCACGACGAGGATATCCATGTCGATCTACCGTCGGTTTTGGTATCTGAGACATTTCACGATCAATTTTCGGACGGCGCTTATCAGGTGGCAGCAATAGAGCTTGCTAGAATTATTGGTGACACAACGGGAGAGATATATTGTCGAAAGATTTCAGCCGAGACCTTTTTGTATCGTGAACAGCGACTTTTGACTCAGTTGAAACAGTGGGTTCAGTCTCTTCCTGAACATCTGAAACTCAGTGCGGAATACCCAAACCCGAAACATAGAGTTCAGATGCATCTCCAGTTCAATTTTGTAAGAGCATAACTCACCTTGAGTCTTTTTCGAAATCATACACTGACTACTATAGTGCGTCATCCTGGCAATTCGACCAGTCCTCCTACATGTGCTCGCTTTAAAAATGAAAGACAAAACTGAACAGTCTATGGATTCCATTTCGCCCATCCTAATCACTTTGAGCAAGGCATGTATACACGCAGCAAGACACTCGCTAGCATTATGTGTGAATGAATGGACCGGCGGATCACTCTCAATATTTGGCTACTGGTTCCCTGCCTTCCTCTTCTCTACTGCATTAATCCTGGTGATTTCGAGTCTTTTGCCACTCGGGGATCCAAGCGACTTGGCATCGGCTGAAACAGCAACTGAGATCCTCAAGGCTCTCAGCTTATCAGATGGTCTGGCAGCAAGAGACCTATACGAACGGATGCAGCGCGTGCGCCAGTGTCTTCACGATAGTCAAATATACTCTGCATCGACACTTTCCCACGGTGCTGTGGACAATATTGCCAATATATTGCCGATGACCGAAGAACCGGATTCCGAATCACTACAACCAACCCAGATTTCAGATAATCTCCAATTCTCCATGGGTCCTGTGGAGGATCTGAGTCATCCGACGTTTGAATCCGATGTGCCATATCTTACCACGGAGATGGCTCTGCATCAACCCACCATGCTAGATTTTCTGACCCAGTCTCACGCGGACATTGGACTACTTGATCCAGTGGAGATGTTCAATGATTTTGACCTAGCTTTTTCAACGTCTGCCAATTGATCATTTACATCAACAGTCAGAGCTGTCGTTTCCGGTTTATCATTCCCCCGCCTTGGATTGCCCATTCAAGAGTGGACAACACCGCAGGTAAGCGACTTCGGTCATTCTCAAGTCGGCGATGAAGACCAGCTGATACAAATTATAGCAGATTTTTGGACAAGTCCTATTGTTTGACAGGGTACAGCTTCTCGTCTCTCGTGTTCTACTCATGGCTTCCCGTTCCAACTACACCGACAAATTCTATCAAGCCTGAAAGACACAGAAATCGGCTTGTCGGCACAGAGATACCGATATCTATTCCCCAAAGCATTGAAATTTCCATTTAGCTTATTCACATTATTCTACGAGGTTGAATCTATCTTCACTGACGCCGAGTGGGTAGACCGCATCACCGTCCCTGATCGCGAAGGCTTCATTTGTGCAGCCCGAACCCAAACGGATCGGCTAGTAACCCTTCGCAGACCCATACCCCAGGCCAGCTTCGCAGTATCAGAAGAAGTCGATATCGATTGATATGAGCGGGTAATTTTATGGTAGTAAGTACGCACTATTGCGGGGGTTAAGACTACACTAGCCTTTTTGCAGAATACAGAACTCTTCATTGGCGCAAAAATATCTGTTCATTATAGATTAAATTCATGCAGCTTGGCTCTCACGAGGCAACGCTACGGAGTAAAAGTGTGGGGTGAATCAGCAACCGGTTAATAGCTCCGATGCCATTGTACCCTCTTCAGAGACTTGATATTTAACCGGTAGCATTAGCTGTATTATCTCTTACTCATATTCTCTGGCATACTGTTTCGTATTTTTAGCTCAAGGATAAGAGTGTGCCTCAGCTAGCAGTATAATGAAACTTGATTCAGGATTCTTCGTCGTCTTTTTGGGCGCTGTACAAGCCTATGAGGATACACTTGGTCTGGTGAATGGCTATACTTCTTTATCCACAGCCAACTTTGATATCAAGTTAGTCAAAGATTCACAACTCCTCGCCTCTCTCAAGCCGACAGGAGACTCTTTCGATTTCCTACCTTTTGATGATCTCGCATACCGAGCGGCAAACGGCCAATATCATAATGGGGACATTGCATATCGTTATCGGCTGTCGGGTTCAACAAAGTGGATTGCAGGCGACTCGGCAAAAGCAAGAAAATCGTTGAAAAGTGTTGAATCCGATGCCCTTGCCGCCGCTGACATGATGCAAACCCTACCAACCTCTCCTATCCATATCCTTCGGGAGTGGATTGACGTGGACGGTGATCTCGGGCTGACCTTTACTCTGACCAACAAGGGAAAACAAACATTGGAAATTGGCAGCCTGGGCTTCCCGATTGAGTTCAACAGCATCTTCTCCAACCGCACAGCTGAAGATATGGTGGCCAAGTGCTCGCTCATAGATCCATATATTGGGATGGATGCTGGGTATCTTCAGGTGACTCCCACATCTGGGACTGGGGCATCGTTGATCCTTACCCCGTTGCTCAACACAAGCACTCCACTGGAAGCGTGGCGAAACCTTGACGAGCCCAGCACCGAGCCTCTTTACTACGGCAGCCAAACATTTGAGGGATTCTACGAATGGCAGACTCACACCAAAGCCTATGCTGAGAATGAGTGGTCAAGTGTCACCCCGTGGAACGAGCCTAGCTCTTGGATAATGAAGCCAAGTGAATCAGTGACCTACGGATTGCGTTTCACGGTTGTCAAGGATGGTGTGCGTGGTATACAGGATGCACTCAAAGCCACCAACACGCCTGTCACTCTGGGCATACCGGGATATGTGGTGCCAGTCGATCTCACAGCTCAGCTTTACGTCTTTGACTCTCAGATATCCAAGATCGTGTCCGAAGATAACTCTTTCAAGATAACCCAAGGTGCAAATGGCATTCTATCCCTCACTCCAACTGGCTTGGCTTGGGGTCGGACCAGAGTAACCATCACTTACGAAGACGGCAAGGTCCAAACGATACACTACTTCATCACGGACTCGGCACCTGCAGCAATCAGCAAATTGGGCGAGTTTACTACCACATCGATGTGGTTCAATGACACACGCGATCCCTTCCACCGAGCTCCATCCGTCATGACCTGGGACCACTCAACTCAAACCCAAGTGCTCCAGGAACCCCGAGTCTGGATGGCCGGATTAAGCGACGAAGGCGGCGTGACCTACTTGGCTAGTGTAATGAAGCAATATGGCTTAGCAGATGCAACAGAAGTATCAAAGCTCGAACAATTTGCATCCGACGTTCTGTCTAAGACTATCCAAAATGCAGACTTCACCGTTCGCAAGAGTCTCTTCTTTTACGACCCTGCTCAAATTCCCGGATACAACTACGATCAGTCTCTCGACTGGGGTAACTGGTGGTCGTGGAACAAAGATGCTTCCTGTGCTACAGACCGTGCCTACGACTATATTCATGTGATCGGGGCATACTGGGCGTCGTATCGTGCAGGTCGAGATAACGAGGCCCTTCTGAAAACGCACACTTGGCAGTGGTATCTCAGCCAGGCATACAATACCACAGTGACCTGTTTTGCTACAGACTTGCGGGGGGATGGACTTTTGGGGTACTCGCGTCTCGGACTCATGGGTGAGATTGTCATTGGTGAGCTTCTATCGGATTTGAAGCGTGAACATTGGACTGTCGAGGCGGCCTCTGTGGAGGCTGCTATGAAGCTTCGCGCCGAGGCTTGAGATACGCAGGATGTCCCTTTTGGCAGTGAGATGGCCTGGGACTCTACTGGGCAAGAGGGAATATACTACTGGAGCAAGTGTGTTTTTGCTCTTTGGAGTTCTCTTTTGGCAGTGATTTTTGATTCGTTAACATTTCTACTTAGTTATTTCAAATTGGCCAACACAGCAACAAAAACGATCAACAGTATCCTGGGATATATGCCCACAGTACCGCATTGGGGATGGAATGGAAATGCCCAGCGATATTGGGACTTTATGTAAGAGTCCGCTCAGTATTTTGCAATTGAGCTAACCCTCCTAACTTGTTTCCTTCACTGACCTCTCATCCAGATATGGCGGTAAACTACAGCGCATCGAACGCATGATCCATCACTACGGATCAAGTCTTAATGCACTACCACTGCTATCTCAGTTTCGCCAGAATCCAACAGACACCTATCTCCTCCGAGTTGGCTACGGCGGAATGACAGGACCACTATCTAATATCCGACAGGATGGCTCAATGTACAATGCTTTCCATTCCTTCCCTGACACCCTGCAAGGCGACGATTATTCAGGTGACTACGGTCCAAGCTTCCTCGGTATGATGCTTACATCTGCTGTCTACGTCGTCAATGACCCAGATGTCGGGCTTGTTGCATTTGGTGGCAATATTGCTACAAATGGAAACACGGTTACGGTGCAGCCCCGAGATGCTGTGCGCCGTCGTGTGTATATTGCCCAAATGGGAATATACGTCACGATCAGCGCTGGATTGATAGAGGAGGCTTCATTTGATGTCTCCCTACCAACAACTCTTCAATTACGTATTGTTCCTGGCTCCTCCGCGGTTTCTTCTGTTATTGTTTGGGTTGAGACTCCAGGCACGGAGAATGATTATGCTGTGACTGGGGGTCAATTGCAGCGTACAAGAGGAGGCTGGAGTGTCAAATTCGCCTCTGGGGAAACTAATGTTGTAGTTTCTAAATTGTGATTCATGGTGAACCCAGATGCAGATGTTTAATATTTTGTCATTCATCACTCTGTACACGGTGTATCTGGATATGATGGAGGGAATACAGTACTCCGTAATGTCAAATGCACTATTTACCTGCGAGATTTGATCCATTGGGATGGCTATACCTTCATGCTGCATCTGAAAATGGAGCTCATGCAGACTTGACCGATCGAGGTGCATGCACCCTTGCATAATCAACGGTCACCTGCTTGGTTATCATCTACATCCCGAATTGCTCCTAGGAATTGGCACTGCGTTTGAGGTCGTCGTTCACCGAGGGAGTGCATCGCTGCAAGGGAAGCGCAGGTTCCGGCTGTGCTAGAGGTATTTGGTCGTGTACATCCTCACGACGATTATGGTACTGTCTTTGAAGAAGAACACAAAGGCAGGAGTTCAATTATATCCGGTTATGGTATGAAGAGGATGACATAAGAGGGACAGGTGTCAAGCGGAGGCCAGAAGATCTGATGAAGATCCTACAATAGAATCCGTTATGTTAGTTACAGTAGAGAAACAATAAACAGATGAGCCGAGCACTACTGGGTCCTGGGGGCACCCTTTGTGATTAGCAAGATCAACGCGACAAGGCCCTTACCCTCGATGACATCTGCGCCCTTATCAAACCTCATATCCATGATCGGCCAGACTAGACCCATTGTCTTACCCACCTCCCACGAGACGGCTAGCCGGGGTATCAAGCAAGCCAGCATCATCCATAACATCATCGAGCTCTATCAGGCAGCTGGGGAACTCCGTGCTAGCGTGCCCACTCGGGACGGGTGATCCCGGTCGACGAATTCCTCGCGCCGAGAGTTCACCGTCTGAATACTTGGCACGGGGAATGGATGGGGATGCCAACCAATCGGGCGGATCCGCTGGTCGAACGGGCGTGCGCGATAGATTTGCAGGCGTGGAGAGCTTGTGGACTCCCACGACTCCAGGGATGTGTTCTTCGGGCCGAGCAGTGGCCAGTGTTCTGGAGATGAGTGACGTCTTCAAGCACTATGATGTACGATGTACGATGTCGGAGGTACTTTGTATGCTGTGCTGTGTGACAGTTGACATGGTAACTGCTTCTCTCGCCTTTGGCTTTCTTGTTTTCATGTTCTTGCTACAACTCAATTGTAGTCAAGATTGATAGATACGTTTTGGATTATCATAGCGACGTCAGGCCATGCAGACTGACAGTTTGATAGAGATCAATTGGCGGGTCCAAAGCCAAGATAGCCCCATATACCATGGCAGTAATGGGAGCATGTAGCAAAACTGGGATGTCATTTTGGGATTGGTATCTTTGTAAAGTGGGCTGAACAGGGCTCCCTATAAGGATGTGACATGACTATGATGAAAACCTGACCCGATCGGCGGGTGATTCGCCACTTTCTTTTCGACTTTCCACCAAACAGAATTGATCATCTTGATTTTCTTTGGTTTCCACGAGGCTCAGGGTTCCACACCCCCATTCTCGGGTTTGAACCTGCGTTAGTTCGGCATTAATAGACTATTTCGTAGATCGTCATTCCATTTCCGGGCATCATGTGACCATCCGGGTTACGCGGCAGGTGAGTCACTTCGCTTGACCTTCCAGCTTGGGAAATTCCAAGAATAGAGTAATGTGGGGAGTTTGGGGAAACATTCAGAAAAACCGCCGAACATTTTTGAATAGGGCATATAGATTGATCATATAGGTTCAGAGTATCATTCAGATTTAGCTATATTATGGTATAATCGAGAAAACGAGGATTGCCCAGCAAAAAAAAAAAAATGTGATTGGTATTATAAACGACATAGTGTCAGAGTAAAGTTATATACATGGATTCATTTTGTGTCATTAGGGTCATCAAGTCGTGATATCGTGGAGTCGGTTGTGAAGAATCAGGAAGAAAAGTAGTCGGCAGTCGAGAGTGTAGGAGAGAATATTGAGCGGCAATGTCAACCCGCCATTGTGGAAACCATGCAAGATCCCCCTGTCCATAGGTGTTTGGAGGTCGCCTCAAGACAATTGCGACCCTTTCCCAAAAAACCATGCTCGGAGTTTTCAGGGGATGGTGGTGATGCTGGAGGAGCCGCAGCAGCGACAGGCTCTGATTTTGATTTGTATGATATTTGTTCGGCGACTTCGGCTGGAGTCTCATTTGAAGGGGCTCTGTTCTTGAGAACAGGCAATTCTTTTTCGATTTCATCCACATCGTCTTCCTCGTCGGTATCTTCGAATTCAAATGAACTGATGCGAGACTTCATGTCATTCTCGGTCCAAGTGACGGAACCGCAGTGCAGGCGGAAGTGAGCCACGCAGCGGCGGAGGTCGGGGTCGGGTGCGGTGGCTTCACGAGCAAGTTTCTCCTTTGAGATATGCGTGAGCTTGTAGGGAAGGGCATTTCGGTTTGCCATGGGGGGCCAGCGTTTATTTTGAACAATTGGCACGGAGGCTGTTGGCTTCGGGGTCTTGGGAGCTTTTTCTGTAGTGCTGGCGTTCATGTTTAAATCATAGAACTTGAGAGAAGTATAATCCGTTTAGAGAGTTGTAAAGTGTTGGGGGGTTTCAAAGCAGAAAGGGTTGAAAAGGTGGGAAAGGGTAGCGAGTCTTATACCCCGAAGAATGGGGGAACCTGGTCCAAGCGTCTGGCTTGCCGTGTCACCAGACGAAACCGGTTCCAGGCCTAGACGATTTTCTGATGTATATATAACGAGATCCCTTCCCTTCAACTTGTTCACACTTATTAAACTTCATAAACTTCATAAACTTCCCATACTAATTCTTCCGATTTGTTCAATCAATCTCAGTTCCAATGGGTTAGCAAGAAGGCAAAAAAGGGATTGCCGGTGTAGCGCCTAGACAAAAGTGGCCCCAGTTTTCTTGATCATTTGATGCTTCGAAAATTTTTCGGTGGAGACCCTTCTGCGGAGCTTATCTTGCTTATTCGCCCTAAACAAAAGATGAAAATGGACAGAAAAAGAGAAAAACGGGGGAAAAAAAGGAAAAAAATAGAAACGTTGCACGGGAAATCTCACGATCCCCACGGATTACTTTCCTAGGAAGTCCGAACCCCCTCATCCTTCACGTTTCCGGCTTCGGGCTTACGTTGTATGTTGTATATGCCAACCATCACTTTCTTGTCTTTCTCTCTCAATCTGTAGATAGATTTGAGATCATTTCGACATCATAGAAACACTGATTTCCCAGGTTCCAAATTTCCTTGAAGATTGGCAATCGCATTGTTCGGTGACTCAGCAACTCCTAACCCTAACCCTGGGTAAAACGCTGCTTTCATCCCCCAACAGCCAACCATAAGACTCTCACCCCATATTACTCAATACATGTGCCCCGAGCACCTGATCCCGTGGGCATAATATGCTGGAGAAGAATATTCGCACACCGACAAGTCCAAGCATTCCACAGAATTATTGCCCCTCCTGACGATCTTTGGGGTCCTTCGACGGCTCTCCCTAATCGTCTGGTTATACCCATGCAACGGGCCTAATCCTTCCCCCGCTAGAAACCTACGGCTCCATCCACACCAAGCAAAATCAACGTCTTGGCAAAATGGTGTATTTACTCCGAATTGAACGGAAATTTATACTGCCGATACTTCCGATTTCAGAACGGCCCCGAATCAAAGAGGATGCCAAGTATGAGACAAGACCCTGCAACGGAGTTCTCTCCGACCTCTGAAAGCACATGACCAACATGAAGCAAATACCAGTCCAGAGTCCAATATAGACAATAAACTTGCAGATGCAATACCGTTGATAGCGAAACAAGACAAAATAAGATGGATCTACTGCAGACACCCCACTAATTCCAACTTGAAGCTATTACAGCCAAGCCCCAAAAATCAAAAGTCTAGAATCTCCCATAAAGGGCTGGGCGCTTGGAAATCAGGTTCTGTATCCGCTAGCACACGGTGGTGAGACCCACAATCCTTCTAGCGCCAGCGCCTCGAACTAGTTCGCCCGGTCTAATTCAGTCGACGATGCACCTCCAAATGACTTGCTACGGTCGCGGCCACGGAGTAGAGGGTTTCATGTCTGTAGATCGTATGTGTACCGCGTACCCCGTACGGAGTACAAACAGCACATGCCTATCAGAAAACATACGACAAGAAGCAGAAAACCACATTCGAGTCGGACCAAACATCAGTCACCCATGCGAAAACGCAGCCGTTAACCACGGTTCCCTACGGACCAAGTCCGGTGAGTTTGGCAGTATGATCTACTCTATGGCATGGTATCCAGACCCCGCACCCTCCGCGCTCGGTTCACAATGTGATTATTGTGTTCTGGATATAAAGTCCGCGTCCTTACGGAGCACTTGGGAACATACTCGTCTCAGAAGTCGTTTGCTTCATGCTGATGTAGATGGATGAGGCGGCTCTACTTGGGTCCCGGCCGTTCTATGGGAATTTTTCTCACAGCATAAGCCGCCACCCTGCTATAGCCGCCCTCCCAAACCTCGAATGAATCTTTTTTTTTTCGGTCTGTGTGCTATTTTCGGCATATTCAGCACTCTTATTGCAGACAAGTATTAGATTATCGTCGACGTAACATCTCGAGATAGGGTTTTTTGTTTTATCCTACCGTGGTTCAGATCCGGCCCGGTCGTCCTACCGGCATCTCTCCACACTGAGGCTCTCTCCTTCCTTTTTGTAACACGTTTCCTTGAACGTGGAAGGTAGGTTTGGGGTGGACTGCTATTCTATGGACCTTAACAATGACATTGACCCTCTACCAGGGATTTGCAGGTCTCTAACTTGGTCTCTCTCTCTTCAGTTCTTGTTCAGGCGTAATGGATATTCTCGATCGACCCTCTTGCTGAGACGGCTGGGGCGGCTTAATAATCAAAGAATCTATTCCTTGCATTCATAACATCTTGATCTGTTCATTTCTCGAACCATCTTTCTTGTAGCATAGGATTATTTCTCATCGGGACTTGATTTGACCACCAAGATCGACATATATGTGGATTTACTCTGAAATATATGTTGCCCCTGAGTGCTGTACGGCATTGATATCCGATAGATTTCTGCTCGGAACACAAATTGCACATTTGATAATACAAAGACAGTCAAAATGTATATGGTAAATTTTGAAAAGGACATTTACGATGTACACACAAATTTCTATCAGCCTAATCGTGCAATTTGTCCTTTCCAATCTGCGTGCCCAGCGGGTAGAAACTACTGCAAAACACCGAATGGGTCTTCCAAAAACCCCTCTTCTAGGATGAACGGATTTAACACCCTGCAGATCTTACTCGATCCCTGGTCACGAGCTCTCTACCTCGGGCACTTCCGGCCTCTGCTGTTACTGCAGCCCGAAACGAATCTGATTCACGCTAATGCACGCATACGAGAGAATTTGCTCATCAATATCTTAGAACGGTCTCATTCCCGGGTATCTGGCATATGGCCTGCAACTAAGCTAGCTGCTGGGCTTGTTAGGATTTCTGAACCATGCAGCAGAAACCGCCGTCAGATATTGCTATAAGCGCCGTTGGATTAAATCCTCTTCACAGTAGTAGATCGGACATCAACCCCAACAAATCAATGAGCGCAGCCTCTAGAGGTTACATAGTATCTTCAGACTTCTTTGTTACATCCGAGGAATGAGAGAGAACGCCACTAGAAGAACTTTGCCGAATTTCGGTATTTGGGTCAAGCTCACACTACATTGTAGATCTGCGTGCCATAATACGCAATATGATTCAAGCAGCTCTGTAGATCCTCGTGTACATCTGTGGTTGCCTGACTCGGTCACATCCACATCCGCGAGTCATGTCGGCATAGATCAACAATCAGACTGTTCCGGATTCTTTCAAAGATTTTATTTTTCTGGGTAATACATTTAAAGCCAGGACGCAACAGCTTGAGATGTGAATCTGCACAACGCGTGGCTCCCGATGCGCAACTCTCAAAGCAACATCAAGCATGCTCGTCGTATCAAATAATAGGATACTGTGACTCTCGGCTTTTGCCTTGCTTGTGCCGCATGAGTAGGCATATAGCTTACCCGTGCTTTTGATACCGGCATATGTCTGTCTTTTCTATGCAAATCATGACTCGTGTAGTTCCCGGAAATACTACTATCCAAAGGACGATGGGATATTGAGACATGGTACGTCTGCAACCCCAACCCATCGGCGGAAGCAAGCCGCCTCTAGAAATCCACATCATTGGTTCCCAAAGGCATCATGCTAGCCCTTCTTTGAGATTATATTCTATCCTAGCTCTTGCTCGGTGTCATGGTTCCCCTTTGCTGCCGATAGTGGAGACAAAGTTGGTTCCGATGTTGCATCAGGGGAGAAACATCCTAAACTCTCGTCCAGAAATGTAGTCAAAAAGCAAATAGACAAGAGGTGTGATTGGACATGTCGATTCTAACATTTTTGGTACTTTACTGCGCCGACGAATGATGTTCAGTTTGTATTTGCGTTAATATACTAGCCCCGCATGTATTCAATATGTGTAAGTCTCCAGGAATGTAGGGATGGGACTGGCGGGGTATGTTCTAGGCATCAACGACATAGCTTGGATTTGACCAGGAGGTGGCGGTACAGCGATCGTCATCAATTGTCTTTGAACGTATGCTATTGACCGCCCGGTGCTATTTAATGAGAATGATCGGGATATATTTTCAGATGTACTTATTTGTCTAAAAGCAAGCACATAAACCAATAGATCTGCGTAACAAAGAACAGAAAGGCCACTCGGCGCAAGTCGATGGTTCGTGAAGTTATGACCAGTCCGTTGTTTAAGGTGGTAATTAAGAAAGCATGTTGCATCCGGGATATAGATCGACTTGGCGGGTTGACTCAAGGACCCATGCGGATCATGCAAGGTCTAAATTGAACGTGCACGATGGAGAGATTCAGTCTTTCCCTATCTGGAGCTACTAGGTCACCTTGTGCTCTGTGAAGCTAGCACAAATCCTCTCATTCGTGTGACTGGAAACAATGGTCGGCGCCGAGCGTGGAAAACGGCAGCTCTGCAAGGCCGGACTGCTGTGAGACCTGGGACGGCGCGTATAAGATATCTGGGCTTTTTCCATTTCGAATCTTGTACGTTTGCGATATACTTCATAGTGTAGTCTGACTGTCGCGGCGGGCGTTATTGTGTGACGATGCTACATCTTGCTCTACCTCGTACAGCCGTCGATGGACGGTGCGGTTCCCGAGTATATGAGCGAAAGCTAACTCCAATCTGAGTGATGTTGATTTGGTTGATATTGTTACTCGGAACAGTACTCTATAGCGTGTTCACGATCTACGATTTACGATTTAGAACTTGCGCTGATTGGAGAATCGAGGGATCTTGGTGTATTTACTCGCGCATGGGCCGTTGATCGACTACCTAGTCCGTAGCTCCTGCTCAAATGACCCTCATAGCCCCGTCTATAGCGTCTTATGGGGGTCATCCGCTCGTTGTTTGACGAATCAAAGGTCTGATCCAGGCTTGGACTAACACCTGGTCTGAGAAAGCACTGATCCCTAACACGAGGCTGCTCATTTATATTACCAACACGACCGTTAGATCCCAGTTGTAATCCATAGCTTAAGACTTTCAAAGTCCTTTCTGACTCATTATATTGCGAGTGTATTCCATCTTCTCCAATACCATGAGCAACTATATCCTCTGAGTGATACTCGAATCAAACGTCTCTAATTTGAACTAACTCATCCCTTACACCGGACACGGCCCTGTCCATCTTCATCCATGAAGCACTAGGTCTAAGTATTCTCTAGCTCATTTTTGGCTGACAAGATGGGGTCTGAGCACACTTGTTTCTCTCTCTGTCTCGTTTCTTTATCTTTTTTTTAATGGCTCCTCATTATCGCTTTCTCCGGAGGATTACCGCCTGGCTTGTTGAATATCGGCATAAAAAAGAACTACCTCTTCAGTGTAGATGACTAGGATGGTTTGATTATCATGTGGCTTACTTTCCATACCTTCTAGTTCGTGCTTGACCCGAGATAATCCGATCGCGCATATTAGTTTCTTCGGATTGGACCTTCAGCTCCTGCATCCACTAATTGGCAGCGAGAAACATGCACATATTCAGGCATTATCAATGATTTTGTCTCTCTCCTAGGGAGCCAATCTTCTTGAGCTTTGTCAGAGAATGACTCTTCGTTTCCACGTCTTGCTCCTTTCGTCTATAATTTTGGACCCCGGCAGTTGTTTAAGACATCTCAAGTTACACAATACATGATCCAGACTAAATGGGCGTAATTCTAGCTCTATTCGGGGTCTATCACAGCGCCTAGACTCCGCCCCATGTTGTGATGGACTTTGACTCGAAATCGGAATAGGAAAAAGGGCCTTCAGGTACACCTAAATAGAGTTGTTGGTCTTTTTATATACTCGCCCCGTAGTTTATACTTAGACTATTGATCTCCAGTAATAAACAAAATGTGAGAAACAGGATATATGAATACAATACCAATACCTTAGATGTGATTGACCCTGTGATTGGCTCGAACCCTGAGTACTCCGTCTGTACCTATTTAGGAATTTCAAACCAACAGAGCGTTGTACCCTCTTGTGCTACCGTTGCACCTTGTCTTTTTTTTTATAAATATTTTTGATTGATTTATTCTTTTCCTCTATTTTTCCCCTTCCTGCAGTCTCGACGCTGCCTAAATGACGCAGGGTCCTTTTCCATGTTTCTCAACCCATATCGAGTATTCGATCGCTGTGCCACCTCGGAAACTCGTTGGATTACGTGGGAAAGAAAGCTCAAAAGAAAGCAAAAGCATCATTTTTCTAGGCTCACAAAATATACCGCAGTTGAATGCCACCATTCATGATCTCATTTGCTTCCTATCGACCTTGTTGGTATATTGGCGCCGTACCCGCGACGCCCAGATCACAAAACGATCACCATTCCCTCCGACTCCAGCCAGATCTGTTCTTTTTTTTTTTTGGTCAATAATCGATCTATTGCGAAAAGTACCAATCTTCCATTTTGATATTTCACCTGGGAGAGTGTATTACTTGTTTCGGCTCCAACACGACTTGGCCTAGCCTTTACAAAAGCCAAAGTATCTTCAGCCTGCAGGAATTAGCCTATTCTGTGTCTGATTCGGCGCCACTTTCTTAGCAGCAGACTTGTGAGTCTTAATTGTTTCTGCTCGTGACCAATCACGAGACAACCGTTCCCTCTTTTTTTCTTTTTTTCCCATCTCCCTGTCCCTTGCACTTGAATTCTCCCCAATAGAGATACAATTGAGAGACATCAAAACCTTGATTTGCGCAAGATTATCTCACAGGTCAACGAGTTGATGCTAACTAGTGAGCTAGCTTGTTGCAGAACACCTGAACCCTCAGGCTGCAATCTTCACCGCCTCGACTTCCCCTCTCAAACCAAAGTTCATCCGAGATCCTACCTAAAAGGCCCCAAGCTCCTAAAGACTTGACCGAAATTTACTTCAAGAGGTTTGAAAGTCTTGCATGAGCATATTTTGCTCTCTGGCACTACTTTCGGTCCCTTCACCTCGGGTATCTTGCGCGTCTACTTGACGCGCCATCTTGCGACGGCCGCTTTACCGTCCGAACTTTGATCCGCTATGTATGGCACATCTCACTCTTTATCTACAATGAATGGCATAGATGGCATTGATGGTTCGGGGACCATCGATCCCGCAAACTTAAGCAATTCCGGTATGTGTCTTATCGCATTTCTTGTTGTCTGGGTCTCGCGCCTTTCATTTCCCATTTCACCCTCAACACAAATTCTCGCGCGCGTCCTGTTTTGGGGCTTGATGGAATAACAAACTACTGCCCATGGCATCATTTTGTGTATGCCTTCCCCATCACTGCTTTCAAACTGATACCCCTCCTAGTGTCTGTTGCCCTGTCAGCACATTCCCATGCAATAGCAAGCCCTCGTGGTGTCAAGCGTAGTCGCACTCCAGATCGCATGGGAAATGGACATGTTGAAAGGGATCAGGATGATGGTACGTGGGCAGCGGGAAGGCATGATTGATGTGTTCCACCCAGGACTGTTCTATATTCCTAGCAGCGCTTGCACTTTACCTAGTCACAGCTTTGGTACTTGATGGTATGGATGCTAACAATGCCTTTTTTTTTTCAGAGGAACAAAGTCGCCGCAAGCGCGGACGTCCCCCAAAGACACCTCGGCCAACTTCCAGTGAACAGCTCATCGGAAACACTTCTCTTCAAACCCCTCAGATGCAAGCACGTTCACTACCACAGGCCAACGCCGGGTCGCCGTCTCTTGCATCACCAGACAGCAAGAACACGCCGACAAAAGCGCTGGTCAAAGCGCTCCCCTACTGTGAGAGATCACACATCAGACCAACTGAATGAAGAAGGCGATGAGTACATCCCTAAAGAGTTCGATGAAGCAGGAGATACCAAGGCAGACCCTATGGGCTATCTGCAGGGTGGCCGTGAGTATAAATGCCGGACATTCCGCGTGCCTCTCCGGGGGAACAAGCTCTTCATGCTTGCGACTGAGTGTGCGAGGGTCTTGAATTACCGTGATTCATATCTTTTGTTCAACAAGAACCGTTCGTTGCATAAAATCATTGCTTCCCAAATCGAGAAAGACGATCTTATCCAGCAAGATATCCTACCATATTCTTATCGATCCCGCCAGATCGCTATCGTCTCCGCCAGATCCATGTTTCGACAGTTCGGAAGCCGGGTGATCGTGAATGGCCGTCGGGTTCGAGACGACTACTGGGAGACCAAGGCTAGGAAGCAAGGCTTCACCGAGGATGATCTCGCGGGTGAGAAACGCCCTGGAGCGGCTAAGGCCCGGGATGGTTCTGTCTCAGAGCCAGCTACAAACCTATTGCCGGCGCTGCCTCATAACGATGTCGTCTACAGTAGTGCCATCGAGCCACTGCCCCATGGGCTCTCGCTGGATACTTCTGACTCTTCTATGTCCCTAACTCAACTTCCCATGATTCATATGTCGACGACTGATGACCCACGACTGCGGGATTACACTATCATGCCTCGTGCACGCCAGGAGATGACCGGGCAACCTTACCACGATCGAACACAAACTAGCTCAGCAGCAGACCTCATCAACCAAGCCCAACACACATCTGATTTCAACAAAATGTTGAGTATTCAGCGCAATTTCCGCCAAAAAGGCCTGGAAGAATTTTACTCCAAGCCCCGTGAGGCCCCAGACTCAGACTCCCAGTCCAATGCTGCTCTTGACTCAGGTTTGTCTGTGTCACAGCCTGTTCAGGTATCACAGATCCCCTCGGCGGGAATGTCAAATCCCGCTCATACGCAGCATATGCTCCCTCAGCAGATTCCTATGCAGCCTAACCCTATGATGGGTGGGCAGCCAAGCTACCCTCAACAGGCTCATCCGCAGTCCGTTGGACAATCTCCCCTAAGAATCCCACCAAATATGCAGCCCAATCTTATGCAGCAGCGATCCAACCCATCTATGGGTGGTGGTATGGGTCAGGCCCCTCCATACGGATATTCACCACAACCGCAGCAGGTTTGGGGACAGCCACCTCCCCAGCCACAGCCGTCCCCGTTGCCCTCGTCAGGCCACCAGGGCGTTGGAATGTCACAGTATGGTCAACAAATGTCTGCAGCTCCGCAACAGAGCCCATCTCCCCTCGGGCATCATCCGCAGCAGCAACATCTACACCAGTCTCCTCGTAACCACCAGCGACAGTCAATACCTCAGATGCCTCAGCAGTATTCCCAGATCCAACAGCACCCTCAAGCGGCGCAGGCCCAAGGTATGCAGGGCATGGGATATCCGGGAGCCAATCCGGCCGGTTATCCAGGCATGGCACGGCCCATGTACACCCCTAACCAGGCTCATGGTGGCCAGCCCTTCATGGGTGGGAACCCGCAACAGCCTGGCCTTGCTATGAACATGGCAGGCAATGGTATGGCTGGGTGGTCTACTGGACCTGGTGCCCAGATGCAGCCTGGACAACCTCAACCGGGCCAGTCTGGCAGTCCCTTGGGAGGTGGGTGGTCATACTAGTTTGAGATGGCTGGCGTTATGTAGATTGGCGTTTGTTTATTAGCTTTTACACATTTATCTGAGGCGTGATTTGTTTTTTCCCCCCCTTTTCTTTAACCACATGGTTTCATTCACACCTGAAATATTCTCCTTTTCTGATATTCCAGTGTTACACTACATTCTTCACTACATCCTATGGCGAAGGATGTTCGTTCAATGTTAATCTGGGCCAACCTTTCTATACCCTTTGTTGAGTTGTACTTAGTCGAGGTACCTGTTTCTTTTCTTTTTTTTTTTTTTTATTATTATTTCATTTATGGTTTCATTACTGGCGTTGGTTCTTGATGCTCGGCGTTCACTCTGCTACTTTGGACAATGTGTTACAGGATTATGAATATGTATGTTTTTGTTTCCTCCATTTTCTTATACATGGTCAATAGAGGGTGAATCGCTGTACACGGTCTAGTTTTCTTGTGCCTTGCCCGAGATGCCCGGTCATCTCTTGGTCGTTGGAAGAAATGTGTGATACTTGTTCACTTGCAATGACCCTATGTATCTGTTTCTTGGTTTTAATCCTGGTTTTCTTGCCTCTGTTCTGTACCAATGCTTCAGGGCTTCGTTCTTGTTGTTTTTACATTGTGTGTCTTTCAACCGACAGTTTCTCTTCCCTGTTTAGTTTCCACTGCTACTCTCTATGCTTCATTTCTTCGGGGAGTTCATTACATGAACGTCATCTTATATTTCTCCCATAAATACATGGTGCTTGCTGGTTTCAAACCGTCGCGGCTTTCATTGTGGTTATGGGGTTGATAGACAGTTTGATGGTTATTCCTTTTGTACAAAAGAATTCCAGATAGTTTTTGCTTTAGTCACGAATTGTTTTCATCCTTCCATCCTTCTTGTGTTAATCATGTCTTTGGTGCCGGTTGTTTTGATATACGTAAGCAGACTAGAATTGTTCTCCTTGTGTTTATTTATTATGGGATAGGGCAAAAAAAAAAAGAAAAAACAAACGTCCCCGGGAAGGCTTGAACTTCCAACCTCCCGATTAACAGTCGGACGCGCTAACCAATTGCGCCACGGAGACCTATTTGATGAAAGGCCTTGTAGTTTTTGTAATCATAATCTAACTTGCTCTTAAATATCCTAACAGTCTTAAATATCACGATATGGTCGTGCATATGATTCATCCTCTCTTAAGCAGTGATTGAATACTTTGAATTCTTTAGAAGCTATATATATTTCTCTATTTTCAAGCGGGACAGGGGTGTTAAATAGGTATGTTTTTGAACTGGCATTATCCATGTGAAGATATATATATGTAATGGCGTTACCGTGTAGCTCATACTTTGTATTACCAGCCCCTACACACACAGCCCCGAAAGAGGAGAGGCAATATACACCACCAGTGGGGGGATAGCAGATTCCCACGCCACAATACAAAAGGGGACCGATGGTCTCAAACGCTACAACCACTCAAACAGCCACCAAGTATAGCACACGCACACCGGAGTCGCACCTATACAATACACCAGTAAATATGTCAATACTCAGCCAAGTAAAACACGAAGGCAGAGCAAGAGCCAACTAATTAGAAGGGTACTTCTAGCATTCTCCCCAGGAGATCAAAAGTGACCTGTCCGAGTACCACTCGACCTGATTTCACGTCTCAAATTATTTTATATGCGATGAATCCGCAAGTTTCAGTCAGATTCCCGACAGTTTTGGCCGAGCCGCAGAGAAAATTTACATGAAATTGAACCGAAAAACAGGCGAAATGCAAATTAAACCTCTTCAACATAGCTCTTACTACTTACGCTGTGGCATCACGTCCCAGTCACACGGATGTAGCTCAAGAACCCACCAAAGGAATAAGCTATGAGACGAATTATCCCATATTCCCCGTGAATGATTCCATCTTTTGGTATTTTGGTATTGTGTGGTGGCCACACTCGTACCCCAGGTGAACAATCGATTGTATACCCGCCCAGATATGGCCAGATGAAGCCGTGCATCGGTGTACCTACCTTCAGTACGCCCCCGCGTTATCGCAGGTCTTCTAGTATCAAGACCAGCGAGAGTATGTAGGTACAGTGATAAATAGACTCCAAAACCTACCGACCTGACGCAACATTGTCATTGATCTAGAATTTGAGCTCTCCCCAACAATCAGGCACGTTAGGGAAGACAAATTCAAGGTTCACCTCGACCTGAGCAACAGAGGGGTGCTGTCCTGGAAGACATTGGAAGGTGGCAGGGAAGAGGGAACGATAAGTATCGATTAAGTAAGTCAACTAAGACTGATATATATCATGTCATGCCCCGAGTAATGTATGAACACCAATTACGCACTCTCGTATGCACAGCCTAACACCAAATCAGTATCGCTGCACCCGGTTGCTGGTGCCCACAAGACCTACCCATGCGACAAAATAAGCCAGTAACACAGAAATAGCCTATCACATACAAAGTGGGAATAATTTGGTATTACAAGATCATAGTCGTGGATGGCGTGGCGGTCAATCAGTCTCCCTGTATTCAGTGTCCCGTGGTCAAGCGTGCCAGTATCAAGGGAAGTAGTATTTGGAGTATCTCATTTTCCCTCCTAGACATAACCCGAGTGTAAACAACACTTGATTTCTAACTCGACCGAAGTAGAACCTTTAATGCAGTGTCTGATAAAGAAAGGGGTTGAACATCTACACCTACCTAGGTAATGTACTACATACATTAAAGTTTAATGTTTAAATCAACCTCACCCTACATTACTTCGCAGACAAGACGAAAAAAAAAAAAAAGCAAGCCAAAAGACATAGCAGAGAATGCTTTGGAAAGGAAGAAAAATTAATTGAGAAAAAAACAAAAAACAAACGTCCCCGGGAAGGCTTGAACTTCCAACCTCCCGATTAACAGTCGGACGCGCTAACCAATTGCGCCACGGAGACTTATTTGATGAAAGACCAGTGACATTAATAATACATAAAGCAAAAATACAAGACTGGGAAATGAGAGAGTTTGCTCGAGTCTGAATCTCTGTAGTCATACCCTCTGCTCTGGTCATGCAGTGAATTTGCAGGACATAAGCCACCGCAGAACTAGTCATCGATGCAAATAACCAATCACATACCGAGTCAATGGCTCAATGATTGACTAGCTCCTGTTACTCGCAGTTTTACATAGCCGTACGCTGAATCACGATACTATGATACCGCAATCCTATCAACCCACCTACAGAACTCACCATCAAAAATGGAAGGGGGGAAAAGAGCAAAAAAGAAAACTACATATGCTATGTCTGGAGATCAAGACGACCAGACGTAGAATCAAGAGAAAATCATTACATACATGAAATCCTGGAGATCTAGACGACCAGGTAAATCAGGAAAACTGATCAGTTGGCAGAGGAATGTCCTAAGGGGAAACCAAAAGAAAGGTCATCCCCACTAGTGAGCCCGGAAATGAAGAACAGCAGTCACAAATCATGATAGCCTCCCCCGTAACCTCTTTGTTCTGTAAATCCTGCCCACAACGTATCCCAATTAGGGATTATGGATTAGGGCAGCCACAGCAGGGAAATGGCTGTGCGGACACGTACGCAGTCCTTTAACAAGACGGTTTGCATTCACCACTGATCTCCACCGCGTGAGGGCCAACCAATCCCGGCCATGGAGAGTCCAGAGTGCAGTTGGGAAGTGGGTGAACGAAAAACCAACGTGATGAGCACTAGTACCCATCATCGAGTATCCACATCCATCAATACGAAGCCAAATGAGGTGCCAAGGAGCAAGAATTGGGGAACCGAAGACCTTTTCCCAAGTACCAGTCATGAGTCGAACGTGGACCAATTCAATGCGAAGCAGCGTGTTTCGAGCCTGGTGGAAGATATTCCTGAGAGTCTCGTCTCTGATTCGCACGCCTTCAAGTCGGAAAGACTTCAATTCACTGAGGTTTTCCGGTTCCAGATCAGACACGTCGAACCAGGTCTGGGCATTCAAGGTAAGGACTTGGATCTTTTTTGCGTAAGAAATCAGCTGAACGAGATATGGAGCAAACCGATCGAGCGGATACTTTGCCTTGACCATTGAGCGAGGCCATTTCGGGTCTCGTCTGCCATCAGGGCCGGTGTTGTCATTGATGTTGATATGCAATTCCTCGATCTGCGCGAAAACCTTGGTGAAGTCCGTCGCGTAACTGTTCAACTCAAAGAAACGAGCAAATTCCGCGGTGGTTGGCAAAGAAAAATGCAGACATCTCAGTTTCGGGACAGGTACAAAGCGTAGAGTATGGACAAGAGCGTTTGTCATCTTGGCAAGCATCGGGGGCTTGATTTGTCCATCTTCACTGAATGTATCCACAACGGAGGGTGATTGCATCCGCAAGGTTTGAATATTTGGGAAGCGACTGACCAGAATAGGAAGAGCCCCCGAGGCCAAGTCATCGATGTATCGATCATAATCCAGCCCAGGCAGCCATGCTCCCACGAAGCCAAAACGCACGTCGCGTACGTAAATGGCATATGGGCTTGCGGAAATCTTGAGGATGCTGTCAAGAGGTTGACCAGCAGAGTATCCGACAACGGCCTGGAGGCATCGAAACATGAGAGGACTCGCAATGCTGTTCCAGATCCGGTTCACCAGTCTGAAGGTCGAGAGAGTCTTCTTGGTTGCTGGATTCTCGAAGATATCACCGTATTCGAAGTCATTTTCCTCACGCGAGTCACTAGATAGCGTTGCGTAGAAGATCTAATACCAAGTGAGCTGGTTGAACAGGTCATAGGCTCCAATTATTTGACCAAGTGTAATACTTACTGCTTCCCAAAGTTCATACGGCAGTGATGGCTCTCGTGCAAAGTACAGAAGATTGCCAGAAACTTGACCGGACTGGGTCTCATCACTATGTGCCGACGAAGAACGATCCAAATTGCCAAAGCTGTGCCTCTCGAGTGTGGAAGGCGTACTGGCAAGACCCGCGGCAAAATAGGGACTTCCACCCAAGCGAGGAGTTTCAGGAGGGGAGGAGCCTCCAAACAGAGAGATGTAGTGAGATTGGCCAGGGGAAGGTTCAGTAGGAGCATCAGAGGGGGCAGACTGAACAGTGGGACTGTTCATGGTCATTGAAGCCTGCTGCACTGAAGACGAGGCAACCAAGGCCACTGCATCCTGCCGTACTGAGCGAGCGCTGTTCAAGGCCGTCGTACCTAGCTGTACTGAGGGGGGGCTTTGAGCCTCCGAGGGATCCATTGCTGTTGTTTATTCCGAGAAGATCCAGGAATGAACGCAATACTATCAAAGTGATACCAAGATTTCCTAAGAGGTGGGTTCAGTAGAGAAAACAGAACAGTCTTGTTTTGTTTTGGTGGACGAAAGCTTATGGCAACAGCTCGTTCCCAGCCTGAGTCTAAGGCAGGCAAGTGCCGTTTAACCAAGCCTGGTGACCTTTGAGCACAAATGCCATCATGTAGGTGAGTAGAACAGGAGGCGGAGAGAAAGGCGGTAGAAGAGGTCAAGAGGATGCTATCTCAAAGTATAAGTAGTGAAGTTAAGAAGACAGGACAAGCAATATAAACACTCCCTCTCCTGTACATGCATCCATCCAGGGATATTATACGACATAACCTTCCTTGGAAGCCAGCAACCAATCATAGCGAAGCATAACAAAGAAGCATCCGGAGTCCGGAGCCTCATGGAGCTCCACGGAATTGCTATTGTTCCTGAGACAAGTTTGACTCTATATAATGTCCACGGTGCTGTATGATCTCATCTATACCTTCTAGGAGAACACGTACATCAAACAAAGCCATTGCTTTGAAGGTGAGACATTTAATGACATTTGGTCGATTATAATGATGCATATATAGAGAAGGGACCTCGTTTTAGAGACTTTCAAAGCATCATTCACCTTGTACTTATGTACACTCTTCATTGTGTTTACCCTTCCAGTGTCCTTCCTACATTCTTCTTACATCCTGCCAATATCTTGTTATTGACCTGTAATCATCGTAAACACCCTATTCAAAGTTCCTCTTCCATTCCATCCTCTCCCAATGATATAGAAGACTACACACGTGACATAGTTCCGCAAAACTCTTCGTCTCCACCATGCCAACTCCACCAACCTTTGCCACAATCAAGTCTCCGTGGCGCAATTGGTTAGCGCGTCCGACTGTTAATCGGGAGGTTGGAAGTTCAAGCCTTCCCGGGGACGATTCTTTTTTGCTCTTTTTTGAACTTGATCTTTCGCGTGAAGATATTTAGGTAATATCCTTGCTGGACGGACTGTTTACCAGTATCAGGGCAGGGCGAGAAGGCAGAAAGGATGGATATCCTAAAGGCAGGACACCAAGATTTTCTAGAGTAAACATGGATATAACGTCTCTTGTACCATCGTAGCCAGATGGGCCAGGTTACTGTACTAATCTACATAATTGACCTTGGAAAGACAGAGGCATCAGATCACTATTGTATTATACATACTTCTCTTCCCTGAATAGTGTTGAAATCACTATCCTCAACTCAGCTATACAAAGTCACTTTAAAACCCCGTAGCCAAAGGCGTCGTAACCGGCACCGCACTGGAAGGACAAACACAAGCCGTGACCGACGTAACCGGCGGTTCCGTACAATGCGGCGTCAAATCCCAAGGCACAGAAGTAACCGACGCCTTACCATGAAGTTTCTCAGCCTTAACCAACACCGGAATAACAGCACCAGTGCTCAACTTGAAAGTCCGATGTCCAACAACCCTCAGAAGCGATGAGATCTCACCCGAATGCGAGGTAATAGACACAAATGACTTCTTCTTAGACGAAGAAAAGAAAACATCCCCTAATGCCTGGGTACTTCTAATATCCTGCGCACCACTAGATTCACCCGTCACACCGTTCCACAGCTCATCCTCCTCGCTGAACCCGTGCTCAATACGCCAGTGCGGGAACAGTGAGTGGATGTAGCTGCGGCTACGACGGTGGTCGCAGGTGTGGACACTGATTGATTCACGGAAGAGTTCCTTGATAGTCGGGTTGAAGTGCGCGCTGTGTTTTGGTAGGTCCAGGCCCGTGAAAGTCAAGTTGGCGGTTTGCAGGGTGCGTGTCATTGGGCTGACGTAGTAGAGGTCTGGTGTGTGAATTCGTTGCTCATTTATCTCCTTTTGCCAGAAGGCGTTTGCCTTGAGGGCTTGGGAGGCACCTTCGGGTGTGAGGGCGGCATCTGCCCAGGTTGATGTACCGTTGCCGCTGAGTTCGGACCAGTAGCACTGAGTGGAGGTGGTTAGATTGGGTCTTGGTGTGGGGTTATGATGGAAGGAAGGAAGGGACTTACATTCCATGCCGGTGTTCCATAGTAAGACTCGGCGGCATTGTGATACCCTTCACCGTGTCGACCAAGGAATAGGACCTTGTACTCGACGTGTGGCGGGGAACGATCATTCAAATTGCTGACCTGGTTGTAGAAGCGCTCCCATTGGGTCATAGACTTGGGTTTTCTGAGCTTCTTGTCTGCAGGATATGCGCGGCCGATCAGGCCGAAGTTCTCCGCTGTCTGAACAAGTTAGTGGACTGAAGCCATGAGTCAAGGGAGGAAGATATGGGTTTGGAATTATCACGAGTTGGAGTTTGCGCTTACATAGTCGAATTTAGAGGGATCAGTTGACTCCTCATCCTGCAGAAAGTAGCCTGGCACTACAGAGTACTTGATAGTCGATGCTTGCGCGACAGCCAGGCCCACAAGGGCGGAACTAAGGGTGGAGAGTCTCATCGGAGATGCGCGGGTTTCAATGTCAATGTTTCCAAAGCTTTGTTTTTCCCCCTCAAGATGAGATGGACGAATTTCTTTTATATCTTTGGACTGTAGCGCACGTGGTATGGCGGAGTAGTTTATCCTACGGAGTAATCCAGGTGGATTCCAGTGGCGCTTTTCGGCTTCGATGACATCCTATCGTCCAGAGCCACGTGCGAGATGAACATCATCTCTATTGCACGATATTCTTTGGACTCCATAGAAAAAAAAACTAAAAAGGGCAAAGTACTGAAAACCGGAGATAATCACCAATATCCTTCAATTCCGGTAATTACTCCAGATGTCCAAAACATAAGAGATAACCTTCCTTTTTGATTGAGAGATATATAAGATATAGATACGTAAATGTATGTATCGTGGAAAATGTGTGAATATCGAAACCAAAATCCTGCCAAAGCCATATGCAAACCCAAGCTTAAATCCAATCCACAAATCCTGCTTCCAACAGGAATAAAAAAAAGAGGCCAAAGATCAAAAGCAAGAAGGTAAAAAGGTCTCGAAGTCCCCATGAGGAAGCTCGGTAGAAATTAAAAGGTCCTATCAGACACAAAAAATAACAAAAACAATCCCAGGCCAATAAACAACATGCAAGGAATGCTCCAAATATGTAAAATCCCGGTGAAAACACCCCAAATAAAGAGACACGAAAAGAAAATGATATATAGAAGGCATAAAGTGACAGTGCTTCTCCGCGCACGGAGAGGTAGACATCTCCCACGAGGGAAAGTGTAAGAAAGCGAAGGTGAAAATGGAAATTTTGCGTAGTGAACTCGCCCCAGACCAAACACACCGAAAGCTGTCGCGTATTTCTCATATATCCATAGTAAGGGAGAGGTCGAGGGACCTTCCCTTAGGAAGGGTAGTTACTTGGCGTCGTGTTGTTCGCGAACGTGTAGGCTTTCGGCTTCTGCATTGATGACAAGTGGTGGCTACCAAAGCCGACATCATGCTCTGGGAATTCGTGCATCATAAATTCGGTCCGCTTCCTTTCCGCAAGCTCAGCAGAACCTGGCATTTCGGTATCTTCGATCGAGTAGATCAGAGACGGGGAGCCTGAGACCGACTCCATGCCGAAAGCCTGTCCGGTGTGGTCAGTGGTCGCGTTATAGCCCATGGGCGAGACGGTGGTTGAATGCGGCACCTGGAGACCAGCCGGGTACTCGGGCGAAGAGATGGAAGCGGTATCGGCCCAGCTACGGGCTGGCATGGGGATCGAGTCACATGTGATATATTCAGGGAAGGAAGAGACATGAGCTGGGGCCGACATGGGCGGGGCCACATTTTGATAAGCGAAGGGGGAGTAGATATCCATTGGCGTGGTAGGAGGTGATGCCATGTTGACCTGCATGGGCTGAGAGGTGGGGAAGAAGTGGGCTGTCGAGTGGGCGGACAAGCAGTAGTTGCTTTCCGTGGGGGATGCAGGCATGAAATGCTGGAGGTCTTGCGGAGTCAAGGGGGTCGGTGGAGCTAGGCTATTAGTTGAGATCGAGGGTCGCAGCATCTTCTCGGCCTTCTTGATAGACCCGGAATCCGCAAAAGTGAATATGAGAGGAGACCGCTGGGCAGCTGATGCCTTCCTCACGCCGGCATACCGGGAGTTCAGGCTCTGGGTGGACTTGGATTGTCTCATGGGGTTGCCGATACCGGAGCTAGGCATACGAGCGGTAGGTGAGAGCGAGGACATCGAGGTCGAGTTGGCCAAAGGGCGAGCTCCCGAGGTGCCTATGGCAGCTGGGCGAGGGCGCTTGCGACGGGCGGCAAGATCAAGCTCCTTCCCGGATTCCTTCCAGCAAGTTGCTTCTCGATCGAGAGATTCAGACAACCCAGGTTGGCCGGTAGTACAGATTCCGATGCCCTCCAGTGAGGCAGTGATCGCATCAGACGACTCACGACGTGTGACCGAAATATCTGGTGCCTGCATGGACATTGGATATTGCATGTTGCTGTAGACCACGCTATTGTGTCGTGATTCCCTGTCCTCAGACCACTCTTCCTTGTGAGGGGGCAGGTGGTTCGAGTACACGTCCAGATTCTGCATAGAGTGGGAAGAGTTTGACATCTCTGCCATTGATGGATGACAAGTGGTATACGAGGTCTGGTCTGATGTGCTGTATCCCATGTTCTCATTGTGCTCGCCTGATCCCCACGAAACTGATTCTTCTTTAATACCAGACCATCCCGTAAAGGAAGAGTTGATATTGGCAAGATTCCCAGGGTCATTAGCTGGTGTGACCGTTTTCGGTGGTGGCATTGAGCCAGGGGACACTGCGTCCTCTTCTTCCTCTTCTTCTTCGGCAACATGATCGTTCTTGCTTCGGGGGTTGATCCGGCGACCGAATCGATCTCGGGCAGCACAAGCAGCATTCAGCGCTCTCTGCAGAGATGCAAAAGTTGCCTCTCTTGCCGACTCGCTCTTTGTTTTGTGGTGCTTGGAACGGCTGGATGTGGAATCTGTCTTGGCATGGCCACTGGATGTGGAGGTAGGCGTTTGCTTGGGAGTAGCGCACTTGTCCGATTCCTCCTTGACAATTGATCCCTTTCGAGATCCAGACAGTTGGTCCAAAGTCTCTGATTTCCGGCGAGCTGCCTCCTCAGCCTCGGCCTTCGCTTTGGTCATCTTTTCAAATTCTTCCTGGCGTTTCTGTTGCTTGGCCTTTGCGCGACGATTTTGGAACCAATTCTGCGTAGTCAATTAGCTCTCTGGACAGACAAGGATATTCCCTCTTTTCTGACATACTGCAACGCGAGGCAGACTCAAATTGGTTTGAGCCGCCAATTGACGCTTGACATTGCTGCTGGGTTTCGGATGAGCCTGGAACTGGGCCTCCAGGGTCTCAACTTGTTCCTTGGTCAATCGTGGTCGCGACAGATTTTCTGTGTATTCGTCGTAATCCATAATCGGTTGGTGATAGTAGTCGATCATCTCCATTGGTGGGTGAGGGTACATATAGCCGTCGATAGGGTGCATCATTGGGGGAGGAACCATGGACGGGTCATATGCCATGTGTTGGTCCATTGGAATGCCCTGATGACCCGGATAGCTCCATGAGGGGTGGATATAGCTCATGGTGATCCGAAGAGGAAAGTAGGTAGGTATAGGAGATAGGAAAATTGCGGGAGAAGCGCGAGAGATAAGAGAGGGAGGGAGAGAGAGAGATGGGGATAGAGATACTGCACAAGAAAGTGGCAGCTTCGGGGAATGATGTCTATATCATGAAGTAGATTTGCAATATGATGGAGACAGGGACTTTGTAAATGTAGAGAGTGGCAGTACGGGCAATCCGTTCAAGAAAAAGAAATGAGCAGTTGTAGCCTGTGATAATCGTCGATGTTAAAGGAGAGACTCGGGAGTTAGGGACCCAAAGGAGTGTGCATAGAAAAAGAAACGAAAGAAAAAGCAAAGAACTCAAGCGTAAAGGAAAGACTGTGTGGGAGAGAAAGAGAAAGGATGAAGAGAGAGAGAGAGAGAGAGAGAATGGGGTTTGGAGGCGCTGGGGGAAGATCGGGGGTGACGGGTGGTAAAGCGCGGTACAGAGTTGCCGAATTCGGTGATATGATTGGATGATAGAGTATTGTTCAGTAACGGGTGGTAATCAGATGAGGTCTGTGTACTGGGTACATGAGACTTATGTACTATAAGTACCTGGATTGCGGGTGCTTGTACTTTGATATAAATAAAAATGAAATATCTATATATATGTGAATATATATTTAACAGGATGGAAGTCACAGGAAAAGCAATTCAGATCTGTGATCGTCTACTGAATCCCAGTACTCCGTAGAATACCCACACAAATTGTACGAATTATCCCCCCACCGTATTTCATCCTTTTTTAGCCCGTGGAGTCGCGCTACCGCCCGCTCGGTAGGGGGTGGCGGCCTGACTGCATCAGAGTCACATTTTGATTTCATTTTATTCCCTTCTTCTTCTTTACGACGTATCTTTTTTTTTTGTTTATTGAATTTTTATTTTATTTTTCAATTTTATTTTTCGTTCCAGAATAGAGTTAGCCCATGATTCCGATCCCGTCTGGACTCCCCTCGTGAACTCATTTCAACATGGACGTGTGACTACAGAGGAAAGAAATACCTAGACGAAGGTCCAAGGGTCTTGGCTCTCATCAGGAACCTTTGTTCCTGTCCATACAGCGCTGACATCACGATCAGATATACATATAGTTTCCAAGGTTGGAAGCTTCGGAATAAACAAAGGTGACCCAGGGTTCAGGTGTGGAGAGCCCGAGTTTGGTTCGGATCCCTCCCGCGGTAAATTTACAATGTGATACACCCGGTGTAATGTCTCTTCAGGGCTTGAGGAACATCTTCGTAAATTACAAACGCAAAAAATCCAGTTCCTGCATTAGCGTCATGTCCGATCCCAGTTGCTGCAAAGGAAATCATGTCCACTATAGATTTAATTTGGAAAGGCAAGTACCGAGTGTATATTGCTTCACGGAGTACGGAGTACCTACAGAGTATGCTATGTAAGTCAGACTCTATACAGTCACAGAGATCTAATGCTGTATACACGGTGATAGGACTTGCATAATCTGCTTTGGGTAGTCACGTTTCCTTCCTAATTAGCCATCCCGGTCATGTCGTAATGTTTCCCTTGTACCGGGTGACTGGAACCCGTTCTGGGTCAGACGATCGGACGCAATCCTCCGGTATAATACGCTTGTGTGATTCGAGGATCGTCATTGGGAACGATGATGTCGACCCTATCTACGGAGTACGGAGTACGGAGTACAGAGTAAAAGATTCATTTAATAGACTATTGACTCCTGAAGCAACTGTCTGCTACCTGTAACAGTGTTCGGTTTCCACTAGGACAAATCCATACTAGTGCGGGCGCATGGCAGCTCAGCCAAGATAGACTAAATATCAATAGTCGACAGATCCTCCGTCGATCACCCAAGGATCTGCCGAGCTTTTTTCTTTATCTTTCCTTGGATGTGGCGCCCTCTTTGGGCATCTTTCGTAACCCCTGTCATTTGGCTTGCTCCAGGCTCCAACCCATATACCTGATGTGACACCATCTCGTCCTTTCCCGGGGATCTGGTTGGGCCCTGGGCGCTAAACGTCCTGAGATAAGTCGCTCCATGCAAGCAAGTCACGAGGGTTGCAGCCCCAACCTTGTCCACCCCCTTAACGCATGCACCCAAAGATGATCACTGCCCGGGCATCCGGAGACTGCCCTTGGCGCTATGGTCTCTTTTCTTTGTCGCAAGATTGTTTCAACCCACCCTTAGATCGGTAGTTAGACAGCTACATCGTACATTGTACAGAGTACTCCATGCTATCGGATATCTCGGAAGCTTTCATTTTGGCCGCTTAGAGCCATTGCCAGTGAATTATTTAGATCTTTTACCTAGGGCCAAATCCTAATCTATGAAGCGGAGAGATCACCCGCCTGCCTTCTCATTGGGACAGGATCGTGTGCAACATAGGGAACTCAAACTCTGGCCCGGCACATGGCAAATAACACCCGGAGAGTTGGAATAACGCAACAATGAACCGGCTTAGTGGAACCTTTGGTCTAGCCGGAAGCCACAGTAGCACCTCATCCCAATTGAGTGGCCCAATTTGGTGATCTACTGTCGCGACTGCTCTATCTGGTAGCTTGATCTGACCCAAAAAAACCGGCAACGCCCTAGTGATCCAGGGTTTATCATGCTCGATGAGCCAGTCACATGTACCAGTAGACTGCAGTGGAGTGATCCCCAAAAAGAGGAATTGTTTCGGAAAAAGGATCCATAGTACGGAGTACACAGACATTGTTTGAGACTGGTAGCTCTATCGACTAGGCAGATCATATGAGAGTGCTCCGTAAACGTGGCTGCTAGATCCCTCAAACTTTGTATCATGAGTATACGATCTCTTTGGCTGTTGAGAAGAAATGCTGCAACTAACGTGATAGTGACGAGATATGAACCTAGATGCCGGATCCCGATTCAAGCTTCATGCGCATCTGGGCGCGTATCGCGCACATCACACCCGGTGGGTTTTCCGATGGCTTTGTGACTTTGGAATTTGTACTCCGTACTCACTTTCCTCTTGGCACAACATGCCCCACGCACACATAGTCTCATGGTCCAAGGTGATGGGGAGACGTAGTACATCATAGGCTCAAAAAGGAGACTCCAGATTCGAGTGTGGACATGGGCCAGTTTGATATTACCCCCGAGAATTTCCGATCTCTTTCTACTAAATACACGGAGTCCATACATCAAGACTCGTACTTTATAACCTATTGAGGCTATTACAGCACCGTCAAAATTTGGGGGATCTGCCCTGACCCCTGGGTCGATCCGTAACCTTCTCGCACGGATCCCCCTGACCCATCCGACTATCGGATCTGTAAACCACCTTGCAAAAAATAGGGCAACAAATAGGGCACAATTCCCTGGCCTTGACAATGTGATAGCAAGACTAAATCTCCACCTTCAAACTCTGATAGATTGTCAATTGGGGATCCTCGGATCCTCAACTCTCCCATAACCACCCCGCTTCTCAAACCCCCTGTTCATGGTGGCGTAGTTTTCTTGACTGAAGATATTTTAGGGGCCTCGGAGTATTTCGGTCAGCTACAAGCCCGGTGGCTGAGCTGTGCTTTCTGCAGATCTGTCAATGTGATAGATCCTGTCTTCGGGACCCCCTTGTGGCGCAGAGAGGACTGTGGCGGTGCGTAACTAAATCGAGCACCCTACATATCACCTTGGACATTATTTGTCACTTCTGTGGGCCTAGTGCTCGAGATCGGAGGGGACTCTCTGCGACATCCTCCACAGAGGAACGGCCTGCAACATGATTGGACAATGTCTTTCAACCCGGTGCATCCCCATCTGTAGTCCAGATCGGAATCAAGGAAGTGCATGAGGGCAAAACACGCTGTACGTGATGAGATTGCATTTACCCCTCCGTCATCACACGTCGACATACCAAATGGGACGTAATGGGTTCATGGACGAGAAACCCCTCCATATTGGAGCCAAAAAACAAAAGCTGTTCTACATCGCCTTTCTTGCTTCAATCACTTGTGATGATATTCAGGAGTCTGCATTCGAGCATCATTTCTTCTAGACCCGTCCACAAGATACGTCCTAGCCCCCTTGCATGCCATTCTCACCGGTCGAGTGGCCTTCTTGACATCATTGGAGAGAAGCTTCGTACTCGCCCCAAGTCTCCCATCTAAATACGGAGTAGGATGGGTCCATCCCCCAAACCATTTGGCCCACCAATGAAATCGGCACAATGCTCTAGTTCCAGACTTGCCGGAAGGAAAAGTATCCATACCCTCGTGAGCACACAACTCCTTCCCCGAAAGAGCTGGCTGCAGCCACTTGAACGCCCAGTCCCAATAAGAGCAGATTAGGAATCTTTTCCAAACCTGAAGTCATCCTCTTCCGGCATGCACTTCCGTTCTCACGGCCTGGTTCCAGATCCACCCAGGCCTCAAACGTGCATGAACGGTAGTTCGCGGCCCGCCCTGTCTGGATGATTGGATAAGATGTGAGTAGCAGTTCCATTTGTGTGCTGTGACGCCCTGCCAAAGAAATCTGGCTTTGAGCTGCAAGGATGAAGTATGTATACCCACGGAAAGTGTCTGCCACACACGCCATGGTGGTCTAAGGCGCCCAGTTACCCTGCCAACAGGTATACGGTTTGATCCTTGCCGGCCATATCGTTTAGATAAGCCACCATTATCCTTGTTATGAGACTTGTCGACTGTCATTAAACGGACCTATATTCCATACTCCGTACTGCAGCAACAATACCATCGCCGATTCATGTGCAAAGCTGAGGTAAATTTCATACCTGCTTCAACGTACCTGCACATGGTGGGTTGTATGTGGAACTTGTGCATACGTACTTTCTATCTTGCACCTTGAACCTTGCTTGGTCCGATTACATCCCCGCCCGGGGAACACCCTGAGCTGTTTCGGGGACTTCGTATCTTTGTATTGGTTCAGGGTCTTCAGAACTTAGTGATGGCAGTCGGGGGATCCAGCCCTACTCAGAAGACCCAATGGGTATTACAACCAGCTGCATAATCTAAGACTCCAGCAAAAAGTCGGGTTCCCTCTCTACAACATACGTTGACACTGCGTACTCTCCCTCAGCATCACCAGCTAAGATCCTCACCTCTCAGGCAAATACGAACAAATAGTGGGTATTTGTCAGTTGACTCCGTACAACAGTAGCTCGATAAAACTCACTTCCATCTCAACCTAAAACAACCCAAGTTGACAACAAAAGTCCAAAAACAAGATGAAGATATATACCAATCTAGGCTCTATGTAATACATTCTACCCTAAAAAAACCATGAGACCTTTAGGCTGTGCATCAAACTCCAAAAAACCAGTTGCGCGAATGCGACAGCACATCCCTGCCGATGCAGTAGCGAATCGGCGAAACCGAGACGACAACGACCATCTATTGATACGCATTCCTGATTTCAATCTGCACCTGGCCATCAACAACTGCCTTGATCGAAATGCTCCTCAGATCTTCCACAATCCAATCTGCGCCAGCCTCCTGAAGCTGATGCAGCGAATGCGTCGTCGTCAACGCAAGTACCTTAAACCCAGCAGCCTTACCAGCCTTAATACCAGACGGTGCGTCCTCGAGTACGACAATTGAGGTTGAATCTTCGATGCCAAGCTGCTTCCGGCCTAGCAGGTAGCAGCTCGGGTCAGGCTTGCCGTTCGTCACGTCCATCGCTGTCACCAGGTTCTTGGGATGCGGAAGGTTGAGCGCTTTCAGCCAGCCGTCGACTAGAGGGCGCGTGCCAGATGTCACAACACCCCATTTGGCACCGGAAGTCTCGAGGGCTGCGAGGAGGTCGCGGCCGCCGGGGATCTCCACGGCGTCGGAGCCATATCGTTTTGGGATCTGGCCTTCGATTTCATTGACATCTGTAATGTGGGGGAGATTGTCAGTGTTATACCCTATGATTATTTCGGAATGGAGTAGCCCATTTTCGGTGTTCGGTATTCCTGGTAGACTTACAGTCCCAGTTGGCCTTGGTCTGGTCATATAGACGCAGTGTATCGATACTGCGACGACCATGCGAGGTCGCGAGGATAGTCTTAGGGTCGACACCGAGCTCGTCGCCAATTCTGGAAATTTAATGTCAGAGGTTCTGCTCCCAGAGATCGTGCTGTGGTAGGTCTATGACTCACTGGTGCCAGTGCTTCACAATCGCTGTTTGATACCGGATGGTTAGCATTGGTCCCAATTGATTTTATGAGCACTTGAAACCGGGGAGCAGATACCATCGGTCGAGTCCACAATTGTGCCATCGAAATCAGAAAGGAGACCATCGAATGCGTGGACCTGCGCGGGCGCTGAGAACGATCCTGTTGCTGAAGACATAGTGGGGGAAGAGATGCGGGGAGACTTGACGAAGTCAATGGTGAGTATACGGAGAAGCAGATGTTGAACGGATGACAAGAAAAGGTCTATCTGGATTCCTGTGAGATTATAAACAGTAAGAGAAATAAGAACTGCGAAACAAGATAATATAAGCTAAGACATCATGAGATATTTCGTGCTTATCCCCGGAACCCCTCCGAGAGCGGGTACATGCCTAATTTAGCAACTGTCCCGCAAGCTTAGTCATTGTGATTTTCGGAGATCGGCATAACTGCTAATCCGCTTATCGGCTGGGAAATCTTGGCACTCAACTTTTTCTACTCCCGTTGCGGACAGACTTTGAGGGTTTGCTGTGCACTTTTTGCGATCAACAATTACGTGCATTCAAAATGGTTACTAAGAGTGGCTTCGGTATGATACCCTGTTTTACCTCTTGCCCATGCGGTTCTGAAGCGCAATTCTAACGGCCTACAGGCAAGACTTCTAAGCGGGTTCCCGTCCGCCTGAGGCACAAGATTGAAAAGTCTGCCGTTCAAAAGCAAAGAAAGGCAAAGAAGCTCGCAAAGAAGGTATGACAGATGATACCTGTACAAAATCTCTGGTCGAAGGTTCTGACCATTTTCTCTACAGAACCCTGAATGGCGGTCAAAGATTAAGAAGGACCCCGGCATTCCCAACCTCTTCCCCAACAAGGACAAGCTTCTTCATGACATGGAGGAGCGGAAGCGCATGAAGGCTGAGCAGCAACAGCGCATTCGTGAGGATGCACGAGCCCGCAAGGCTGAAGGCCTGCCCGCGCAGACTGGCACCGAGGCTGTCGATATCGACGAGAACGATATGCTGCTGGATGATGATATGGATGCCGAGGGCAATGATTCAAACCCAATGGCTGCTCTTCTCGCCTCAGCACGCGCCCGTGCCTCAGAATACGATGATAACCAAAGCGACGACGATGACGAGATGGAGGAAGATGAAGATGATGACGATGAGATGGACGAGGATGATGAGGGCGGCGCAACTATCGACGAGACGCCAATCGTCAATTCAAAGTCTTTCTCCAAGGAGAGCTCACGGCGCCAATTCGACAAGGTCTTCAAGCAGGTCACTGATAACGCCGATGTCGTGCTATACGTGCTCGATGCCCGCGACCCTGAGGGCACCCGCTCTAAAGACATTGAGCGCGAGATCATGATGGCAGACGGTGGCAACAAGCGGTTGATTCTCATTCTGAACAAGATCGACCTGGTTCCCCCGCCAGTGCTCAAGGCTTGGTTGCTTCACCTGCGCCGCTCCTTCCCCACTCTTCCCCTTAAGGCATCCAGCGGTACCACCGCTAACGCACACAGCTTCGACCACAAGCAGTTGACGGTCAAGGGTACTTCCGATACTCTTTTCCGTGCCCTCAAGTCATATGCCGGTGCTAAGCAGTTGAAGCGAGCCATCTCTGTCGGTGTCATTGGATACCCCAACGTCGGCAAGTCGTCCGTCATCAACGCACTCACCGCACGTCTCAACAAGGGCTCGAGCAATGCTTGCCCGACAGGTGCCGAGGCTGGTGTCACCACTAGTCTGCGCCAGGTCAAGCTGGACAGCAAGCTCAAGCTGATTGACTCCCCCGGAATCGTCTTCCCCAGCTCCAGTGACAAGTCTAGCAAGAAGAACAAGAAGCAAGAAGAGCAGGCCCGTCTTATTCTTCTCAACGCCGTCCCACCTAAGCAGATCGAGGATCCCATCCCCGCAGTCAACCTCCTGATGAAGCGTCTATCTTCATCGGAGAACCTCCTCGCCAAGATGCTTGAGTTGTACGGCATCACCGCCCTCTTCCCCAGCAATGGCGACAAGACCACCGACTTCTTGGTCCAAGTGGCCCGCAAGCGTGGTCGTCTCGGAAAGCGCGGTATCCCCAACATTGAGAGCGCTGCCATGACCGTTATCAATGACTGGAGAGATGGCCGCATCCAAGGATGGGCCACTGCGCCCGTGCTGCCCGTGGTCTCGGCGGATGCTCCTGCTAACGCTATTGAGCCTGGTGTCGATACCACAAAAGTCGTCACCGAGTGGGCCAAGGAGTTCAGCATCGAGGGCCTCTGGGGCAACGGACAAGGTGATGACGAGGAGATGGCCGAGTAAGGGCTGGTCTTCTTGCTCGCGTTATGAACTCATTATCTCATTTGATTCTATCTTTCTGGATACCAAAAAGTGGGCGTTTTATGTTGGCATTCGATCCTTCCTTAGGCTTGATCTCAATTTCAGTGGTATAAAAACATCAGTAAAGATGACTCTTTTTTCCAAATAATTTTTTCCCAAATAAATCCACCAAAGCTGTAAATCGTAATCTATATTATTGTAGAAGTGAAGATAGAATGAGAAATCAAAGCAGAGTACGGAGTAGACATCACCGCCAAGCCCCCACACTCGCGAAATCCAACGCGTTGGCGCGTCTTTCTTGCAACCCATGAACGTCGTCCCATCTCCAAAGCCCATAACCGCAGCCCAAACCTGAATACAACCAAAAGGTCTCTTACAGAAAAAATAACCAAGCCTTAACTCGATTCAATATCCAAGGGGGGCCGAATTCTCAACCCCCCCGATCCCTTAAACCGCTCAATCAGCACAAAGTTCACCTTATCCGCACCAAACCTCCAAGAATGCCACCTCGCAAATCCACGTCCTCAGTGACGCCCGCTGATCCAGATGACTCACTACTCCAGCAATCACCTTCAGCACCACACACCGACAAGCCCGTCTTTGCGACGGAGCAGCAGTTGAAGGCTCGGGCCGAGGCGGGCGCAAGTGTCGAGGTAAGACAAAGCCAGATACATGTACATGCACTGCGTATTGCAGGATGATACCGTATATGTGGACTCCTTCAAACACGAGATGTAGAAAATGACCCAGGTCAGGCTAACACTATCTCCGGTGATGCACAGGACTATCTCCTACCACGCTCACTGACGATTCGTCTCGCGAAGTCGGTTCTCCCGCCGAATACGACAATCCAGAAGGACGCTGTGCTGGCCATGCAAAAGGCTGCTACGGTGTTTGTTTCCTATCTTTCTTCACAGTATGTTTATATCCTTGCCCCGCTGTCCATGGCTTTTGCATTCGTCCTCCAGTCCAAGCTACGGGATGGTAAATCTTAATCTGGATTTGATCTGCTCTATCCCACTGTATGATATGTCGAGCTAACCTCGATTGTAATCTTAGTGCCAATGATGCGACTCTCAAACGAACAATCGCCCCAGCAGACGTCTTCAACGCTCTCTCCGAGCTAGAACTCGACTCCTTCCGCGGCAGACTCGAACGGGAACTAGAGGCATACACGGAAATCAAAGCTGGGAAGCGCAAGCCGAAGAAGGTTGATGCGAATGGCTCGACGCAGGATGCGTCAGGCGAGGGCCCGACTCAGGGTGATGGTGATGCCGAGATGCTTGATAATCCCGCGAAGAGAGTGAAGCGGGATGGAGATGTGGAGGTGGCTGTTGATGCGCCTGCTGGGGATGATGGGGGAGAAACTCAAGAGGAGGACGTCGAAGAGGAAGAGGAAGAAGAGGATGAGAGTGAAGATGATGAAGAGGAGGAACATGCGCCCCGTGAGGATGACCTTGAGCATGTGGAGGACTTGGACCGTGAGCCTGGTGCGAGGAGAGGACCGTTTGATCCGGATGCTGAGGAGACGGATGAAGATGAGGATGGGCCTGGTAGTCAGTTGCGGGATAATCTTGGGTTGGGCTAATTATGTAGGTCATAGAAAAGGGGTCTATATGATGAGCCAGAACTCATCTTGGATGGCATTGGAAGAGGCCGACTGGCAAAAGAAAAGAATGTTTCTGCTGTACTACACACATAATGACGAATGGATTTTATGCTGCGCTCTGTTGGTATATATTATGATATAGTCGAAGGTGAGTACAATTAGATGAGGTCTGGAACAGATTATGTCGACACTCAGTATTATGTCGCACAGTTGCGCTGGAGTTTGAATATATATCTCAAATCCCAATGTCTTATTACAACAAATATTATATATACGGGACAAGGAGACGCATATCCCAAGAGAACAAGGAAAGCTAAATTGGAAGAGACAGCAACTAACAAATCGTATGAGGGATCGAGGCAGGTATATTTCATTTAGATAATCCACAACTGAGCACCCATACAGGTTGACACGAGCGAAAATAAGAAAGAAAATAAGATTGAAAAAAGAAAACACCACGCTGGACTAAGCCAGCTTCTTGATCGAAAAACGCCTGAGCCAGCCCATGCGAGAAACCGTAGTCTATCAATGGTATCTTTCGAAAAGGGGACAGCAGCAATCATCAACCTTATACCAACGCAGGTGATGCAAGTAGGAATACAGTCCACGAAGAGGAATTATGTAAACACAAGTGAAGAAATGGAAGACCCAGAAGGGGATAGGAACAACAAAGGTAGCACTGGAAAGAACGAAGAAAATAACACCCAGGGACGCCATTTTGGTAACCATGCATCATGTCATAAACTTGCAGTCGACCGAGAATAGAACATCAATATCATGACCAGAACATAAAACAGTCAGGAGGAAGCCACTGGCCGAGGACGTGACTTTGAATCGAGCACAACGTCTGTTTTCTCGGATTGCCCTGATCTGATGGGCAGAGTACCATTGTTCCTCGGGGCGCCTGCTGGGACTGGTTGCATAGCTTTGAGATCGACCTTTGTATTGACCTTGCCAGCAGATTGAGATGTTTTGGTAACGCGGCCGCTGTACGAAGTAATGGTGGCATTTTTCTTGACCGGAACACGCTTTTTCGAGGCGGTTGTTGCGGCTTTCTTGGTACGAGGATTGGGCGCGGGTTTGGTGATGAACTTGGTGGTAGTAGGCTTGCGAGCAGCAGGCTTTCCGTTGAGCTTTCCGCTGATGACGTCCTTGATAGTTCGGCCATTGCTTGCTGGATTTTCGAGCTTGATTTTCGATACCTTGGTAGCTGGCCTTTTCGTGGGCTTCTCGTCTTGACTGGCAGACGGTGTGACGAGACCAGTATCTGCGCGAGGTCTCTTTTTCGGCGTGACCACGACAGAAACGTCGGAATAGCTGTGAGGAATGGGCTCGGGCGAGGATTCGTAGACGCGTGGGGTAATGTCCTCTGAGTCCCATGGTTTCAGATTTGCCTGGCGGGCGACTTCATCGCATGATCCCTTGACGATCAAGTCAAAGCAGTTATCGAATTCTTTGCCGCTTGGTGGTTCATTGTTGATGAACATTGTGACACCATCCTTGCGACTGCGGATCATTGTGCACAAGCTCTTGACAAGTCGACGGACGCCGGGAATCTTCAAACTGGTACCTGCGACAATCAAGACGCGAGGGCGGGATTTGATATCGGCATTCATCACGGAGGTGATTGCCTCTTCGTCAGGGTTGTGCTCATTGTAGAGGACGATGCGCGGGCGCATTCGGCCAATTCCGTGACTCCGTTGACCGACGGCTTGGCGAGCTACGTCGATTTCAGCACACTCTGTGCAATCGGGCGGGTCGGCTTTCATGAACATATCGGGATCGAAGTTGGCGAGGTAGCGACACTTCTGGCATACCATCTTCTCAATACTGCCGTGTAGTTGAATAGTGACCGGCCAACTACCCTTCACGCTCAGAGGGACCTCAGTTGCCAGTGGACCCATGGAGGTTTCAATGCCATCGATATTTTGGGTGTAAAGTCGCTTCAAACGAGACTCGATACCTAATCGGGCGAGCATTTGGTGGAAGGCGGTGGGTTTGATGTTGGCGACCTCTTCCGACAGCGACCGGACCATTTCGTGGAAGGGAGCAGTCAATGCGTCATCCTGATAGACGGCAGCATCAAAAAGAAGCTTGCCGGAAGCTTTCAGGTTATGTTTTTTTTGCAATGATTTAAATAGACCATCTGTGGAGCGAAAGTCCGGAACTATGAGAGTTAGTGATTCGATGCGGCAGAATCCCAAAGCAGAAACTTACTACCCGCAGCTGTGGAAATACCAGCGCCAGCGATGACGACAATGTCTTTTTGGTGACGCAAAGTTTGAACGAGCAAATAGTGTTGATCATTTTGTTCATAGAGAGATTTGGAGAGATCGAGATATTGGGTGGTCCGGTCCTTTGGTAAGGGGTTGCGTCTCCTCTTTGCGGGACGGACTGGAGGTGCAGAACCATCAGCAGATTCAGCTCCCTCTTGGGATGAAGGCGTTGGGTACCGCTCTGCTGGCTCTGGTGATGATTCTAGCCGTGGTGATGAAGGTGCGGAGCTCAAATCCGATATATCAGAAGAAGAATCGAAATCGAAATCCCCCATGGCTGCTTGGGAGTTGGGTGAATAGACCGAAAAGTGCAGTGTAGGAGAATCTTCACCCCCAGGGGAGAGCCGGAGCGAAAAGAACCGGATTACGGTATCTCTAAATTGCTCACAGACCGTAGAAATCCTCGAAAAGAGAGATCATGTGTGTTGAGGAAATAAAGACCAATATGATTCAATGGCGTGTAAGTCCTTAAGAGAGGGAGAAAGGTAGAGAGTAGGAAATAGAGGAAGTTGACGATGAGGTCAGCGTTGGGGGGGGAAGGGGATATGGGCATAAATGAAACTCGTGCACTTCAGGAGTCTATGGCCCGGAGAAAAAATCAAATCGAGAAAAGGGCGGCCCGCAGAACGTTTGTTTTGGTCGAGTGTATGGAATGTTGAACTGGAGTAAATTGATTTGAGCGAAGCGAATAACCCAGGAAAGGTGGGACTTGTTTTGATGCGAACGGTTGTGGGTTTAAGATTGCTACACATATACTTCGGAATAAAGAGGGAAATGTAGTCCAGTCATAGGCGCGCTTTTGGCTCTTTGGACTCTTTGATACTCTGAAAGCCCCCATTGATTCCGGGGCTTTCTAATGATCGATTGTCCTTTCATACTTCAATAGGGTCCTCGAATCGCTCATCATTGTACTCTTTCTCTCATTCTCTTCTTTTTCCCGATTTTCTTCCTATTTTTCTTTCTTTTTTTTTCCCTCTCTGTTTTCCATGTTTTGACAGTCCAAGGTGCCCAATGGTGATTCGCTCTACTGTCTAGTGGGTCACCTGATATTGCTCTGATTGGTCCGTTCTCGTTGGCAGGGCTACCCCCGGGGCCGTCACCTGATCCATGTCACGAGGATTGACTAAGCAGGGAAATCCACTGGTCCCTGGAGGTCCAGGCGCTGACGGCATAGGAACATCTGGATTTGGTCTATGGTCTCCCTCATATTGAATTCGGGAATTGCTGCGTGGACTGTGACTTCGTGGGTGTGTGTGACATCTTCTCGATCATTAGACGTCAATCTCGGGAATCCCGCCCCCCGCTGTTCTTGAATAATAATAAAGCCCTGCTGATATTCAGTCCGGGGAACTCTATGAAGCTATGCTGTATTGATTCCCTGATTATCAAACACACTTGAAAGTGGTCAATTATTATGCCCTTGATCATGGAGGACGGTATCAACGTGGATGACCTCTTTGGAGAACCCAACTCCCTGGAGTTGGGTTTGCCGCCCGCCTCCCCAATCAAAGGCCTAGCACAATGCCTAGATGAAATGCGCCTACTTGGCTGTTGCCAGTAAGCTTGGAAGAAGGCCCCACAATTACATTCCAGAAACTAACAACCGTTTAGGAAAGTCGCTTGGTCTCGGATGGGATGTATTGCATCTATTTCCCCAGATGGACTCCGGGTGATTGTCCGCCATCTCCAGTGCCGTCCATCAGATGGCAAATGGGTGCTCGGGGAAGAGTCACCTTTAGCTCCAGTCTTGGAAGCCCATAATGGCAATCAACTAGCCCATTTATCATGGAATGAGACTGGCTCAGAACTCGCCGTTGTTGACTGTTCTGGTCGCATATCAATTTATTCCATTTCCATTGCATTGAACAGCATCACAGGCCTGCGCCAGGCCTCATTTGACTCCGGCGACGATGGCAATCAGGTTGTTGGAATGATGTGGCTGAACTCCCAGCGTTATGTACGTCAGGTCCCCTTATCATTTTATTAAGATAGATCATCAATATAAGAGCGAAAAATTCTAACATGGCAATATAGGTGCATGCGTTTCACCAGGCAGCCAAGGTGAATGGTCGATGGGCATATTCACCTTTCCGTCGACGTCCCGTCGGGCCATTCCACCCAGCCAACAAAGGCGCATTGATATGTGTGACCAGAGCCGGCCAGATCAAGCTGATATATCAGAACCCTGATAGCAAATGGGCCGAGTTGCCAGCTGAACTGAAGAACACAGGCTACTCGGACAGACTATTAACGCATGCATCCATGACCGCAACACAAGGTATTATCTTTTAGTCGGAGCTCCATTTCCCGCCATCGCTGACGTATTGAAATAGCTGGGATCCTTCTCTCCACATACTCCGTATGCCAGAAAATGTGTCTTTATAGAGTACACATCTGCTGGAACCCGCCACAATGGGAACCGGCGCAGGGAAAACAGACTGGCCAATTCCCCGTCCCCACCTTCCGCTTCATCCACTGTAAGGTCGACATGCCCAGCAATATATTGAACGTCAACCGTGGCCCGGACCACTCCGATCAGTCTTTGCCGTTTTTGAACTCGGTATACTCGTTGACACGACTAGAGATCATGCCGGGACAGTTTGATAGCCCCGCGGGGTCCACTGGCAATCCCTGGATTCTGGCTGTCTTATCGAAGGCCCTCCATGCCGTACATGACTATCCGGACCAACAAGGTCCGCCGAGTGTAATAGTCAGGTGGCATTTGGAATCTACCCCCCAGGTCCTCCATCCCAAGTTCGACGAGGTGACCTCAAAAAAGAGCAACACTCAAGCAAAGGTGCGAACCCCTCGGCAATTTCCTGTTGCGCCAAATCGAAACTGACAGATCCTCAGGGCAGAATGGAACTGCGCAGGTTAGATGACGTTTTTTGCGATAAATACATTGTCTCGGTCGATATAGTAGAGCATGGGACTGTTCTGGCCGTCAGTCACGATGACAGCTCAATAACATGCTATGACACGCGGACAATGGCCGTTTTAAATGGCTTTGACGATTCATCCACAGTAACCTGCCTGGCTCAGGCCGGGTTCCAATATCCACTCGAAACATCAGGTATGTCCGGAATCGACCGGTATTGCGTTCAGACGCGTGGCCAGAACTGATATAAACAGGTCTTCATATTGCTTTCTCTCCTAATGCTTGCGTTGCCGTTACGCTGGATAGTGACGGACATATGCAATTGAGGCTGATGGAGCATTCATTCGGATCCACACAGGGTATCTATGACGAGAGTATGTGTTTTCCAGATCACCTGTATGAAAGAATAATACTCACCGAGACATGTAGACAATTTTTCCACGGCCATTGCAGCTTTGACATTGGCATTCAGTCGAGGCTGTGGAGTTGATTTCAATACAGATGACATACTCATGGTTGCTCTCGCACAGCTATCACCAGGTGGGTGCTCCGGAGGCCCTCGTATTGATATCATCAAGCCTGCTGACAACTCTCAAAGAGGCTCAAATCACGTTCATCAGCGAGGTGTATCGCGCACTGCCGATTAATTGCAATTTCACAGCTGAACAGGATAAACTTATGAGCCATCCGTACATACCCCGCTGTCTCAGCTTACAGGCCGGACTGGGCTTCAAAGGGAGACTCAAGCGGCGTAACTTGTCATCGGCCGTGCCGTGGGCAAGCCTTCAACTCAGACATGCCTCGGTTCTATTTGCATATTTCTTCCAGTATAATAAAGGGGTACCGACTGAATCGCATGATCCAGGTGAGTTCAAAGAACCCGATTCAATTCTCGTATTCGTCGCTAATCGAAACAAAAAGATGTTTTAAAGATGGTGTTGGGTAATACCAAATGGACATTAGACTTCTCTCACTTCCTTCTAAACGAAATATTCGACATGGCCGACGACTTCGAAGATGTCTTCAATGACCCCGAAGCATTCACACAGAAGTGTAAGGAACATCCCCATAACAAAAACTCCAGCTTCAAGCACACCCATCTCACTATCATCACAGTGAAAAACTCCTCCTCTCTCCCCCTCCTAATCCTCCTCTCAAGCATGTCACGAGCCTTCCTCCGCTTCATCTGCCGTGGCCTCCGCGGCGTGCATGCCGGTTTCGCAAGCACAACCCCTGCCTCACTTACAGACGACTCCCGAATCTACTACACAGAGATCTGCCAAACACTAGAATCATCACCGGTCCGAATCGACGTGTACGAGAAGTTCCTAGCAGGAGTCGACTCAGCCGTGAAGCACGCCTACCAAGGCGCTGGCTTTGGTGACGCTGAAAAACCCGGCCCGGAAAAGGAACTACTAGTTAACGCGCGCATCCCGCCAGTCCTCACCACGGCCGTGGCCACTCTCCTCCGGCAGACAGTCCCGGCCCTCAAATCTGAAATCAACCGCATGGGTATTTACCTCGGCGATTACAGCTGGCTCGGTTTTGCAAATGACAGACGCACGGCGCTGTATCGTAAACAGCGCGAAGTCGATATCCTCAAGAAGTGTCCGTTGCGCCCGCCGTTGCCGTTGGGGAATGATGGTCGCGTGGCGCCATTGAAGAAGCGCAGGTGTGCGCGCTGTTGTGAGGTTTCTGGTGACACGAACCTACCCCGGTCGCTTCTGTCGTTCAAGATGATTGCTAAATTGGGGCTGTTGCGGTCTTGCCTTTGCGGGGGGATGTGGGTTCTTGAGACGGATAATGGGGATAATGCGGATCTTGGGGTTAGGACTGTGAATGCGACTGGCAGTGGCAACAGGGTTAGCCAGACTTAGGACATCGGTCAACGCTGGAATTGGATACCATAGCTCGCATTCTGGCAATGACTGAAGGTGGTGTTGGCTGACCCAGGACGTAATGATACGTTCCTCTTAATTCTACACTATGTGGGCATACTTGTGTTGTTGGGACGTCTTGCATCTAGATCCAATTGACCATAGCGAACAGTTATTAGTCCGACCTTATTTTTGTTTTGTACTTTCGAGTCACGTAGACAAGAAATGCAGACCACTCAATATGTATATGGTAGAAATATATATTATCGAGTCTGGCAAACGATACCACTGGAATGTTCACTAGTCTTACATGCGAGCAAGAGCAAGGAATCTTGAGAATGTCTAAAGTCATGTCATGTCAAGAGTCGATTTGCATCCTATTTAGATACATAATCAAATTCCATTTTTTGGATGTAAAAAAAAAGAGAAAACCGACCCTTCCACAAGCTTTCGGATCCACGCTGTCACGTCCTGCTTATGTCCAAGGCCAGCAACGTCTTCCCACAAAACTCCATATCCGAACAAGTTCTGCGTTTAAGCCTGGAATAATTCGTCAGCATTGGGTTCGGCTGATTCGTTTCGTTTGATGGGCGAGGTCCTCGGTGGCAAGAGCAAAGATAGAAAAATCTATGAATCCTCATTCCACCTATTTCCTGCCCATGATTGTCGGAGCATCATACCTTAACGGCGTACTTCCGCTGGGGGAAGTGGATGGCACGCTTGCGGAGCTTGTCGGTGGTCTGGGTACGCTCGTGCTTGGTGAGACGGCGGCGGATCTCACGGGTGAGCTTGGGGCGGAGGTCGAGCGGGAGGTACTTCTTGTTCTTGTAGAACAGACGCAGCTGAGCGCGCTGGTTGGCGTTGATGACGGTGAGAACGCGAGCGATGGACTTGCGAACCTCGCCGCTAAAAAAAGAAAAATTCCAGTCAGCATCAAAATCTCGAATATCGATGATCCCCATTATCTTGCGGTTTGCGGCATGTCGAATAACCCATCTCTTCCTCGTTCGATCACTTGGTTGAATGCTGGCGTAGAGGTCTTTTGCTTGTTGTGTTGCCCGGGTTCGATCGTTCCCATGCCGCAAATCTTCAAATTCCTTCCGCACAAAAATCAAATATCGGGGGTGTCGGATACGCACATTCTCTGAGTCTTGGAGGAAGCGCCGGAAGAGATCTTCTGAACGCGGAGCTGGTTAAGCTCCAACTTCAACTCCTCGAGCTGTGTGGCGAGCTCATCCTTGTTCTTGCCCCAGAGCTGACCAGCCTTGACCTTGGACGACTGCAAAAAAAAAGCGATTCATCAGCATTTTGATATCAGAGCCTTTGAGCAGCACTACATACCATGGTGGCGTTGAATTGTGTGGGTTGTCGACGTTGAGAATTGAAGATGTCCGAGTGTCAATTTGCGACTGGTTGTGGGACTAGGGCTAAGCGAATTTGTGACTTTAGCGGGTGCACGTGATTACGGTGGCACTAATGCCTTAACTTTCTGCCTGAAGTTTCTGGTCAATTGGTGCCTGGGCTATGGGGCATAAACATCCTGTATCAGGTTAGCGCGTTTTACCCCGTCATGGGCTGGCACTTACGTAGACAAGCAGGTAGCACCTCGGCCCTTGCACCTGTTGATGATTTGACTCGAGAAAAACTCATAAACGGATCAGACTTCTCTGGTGATTTCATCTCCACATTCCACATACTTTCTGTCTGCCATGGCTACCTCAACTAGTTCAGGGTGGACACAGCTCCGGCAACAAGCACGGTCGCTTGAAACTCAGGTACAAATATCTTCTCACCAGGCATTCTATACCAATTGATACTGACGCATCGATAGACCCAGAACCTTTTCCATACCTATTCACAATTCGCCTCAATTACCAAACCTCCACAAACCCCCACTGAGGAAGAGCTGCGACTTGAATCACAATTGAAAGACCTCCTCGAACGAGTACGTCCATTCACCGACATTCAACAGAAAAAAAAACCCCGACAGCTAATTGACCTTTCTATAGCGTGAATCCGTCATCGCCCAACTGTCTCGCCTCCTTGACTCCGAAGCTACCCTCACCTCCTCCGCTTTAAAACAGAACAATGTTTCGCGCCACCGCGAAGTACTGCAAGAGCACCGCCGCGAGCTTCAACGTCTGAACGCATCCATTGCTGAATCGCGCGATCGCGCAAACCTACTCTCTAATGTCCGATCTGACATTGACTCCTATCGCGCATCAAACCCCGCCGCCGCCGAGGCCGAGTACATGCTCGAAGAGCGGGGCCGAGTTGAGAACAGCCATAGCATGATGGACGGCGTGCTGAGCCAGGCGTACGCCATCAATGAGAATTTCGGTGTTCAGAGCGAAACACTTGCCAACATCAATCGGCGCATTGTCGGTGCTGCTGGCAGCGTCCCCGGCATGAATTACCTCATGAGCAAGATTGGAAACAAGAAGAGGCGAGATGCTATTATCCTCGGGTGCTTCATTGGGTTCTGTTTTTTGATGCTGCTGTACTTCCGGTAAAGTATGGATGCGGGACTCCCGCGGTAGGTCGGTTATACCACCGCCTCATGTCATATTGTTCTTGTGTCAGTTGCAGCTCTCCAGCGAGTGGATTCTCTTATCGAAGGCGTTTGGGTTTGGGCATGTTCCGATTCCCCCTTGACGGGGGATAACAGAATACATGGTAATTCTCGTAACAGGGTCTTGAAGGCCCTTGTTTGTTATGCTTTCTATTATACAGATTCTCTATTGTATGTACAAATTCAACCGAGAGTGGAATCATATCACATCCAAAGCTTCAGTTCGAGTGATGCTTCTTCCCACTAGCCTCAATCAATACTTGCGAGAAGGGTCCTGCGCCCGGAGAGCGGCATTCTTCTCCTCAATAAGCTTCCGCAAGCCAGCATTAAGTCCCTCCAATTCAGACGCTTCGGCCGGTCCACTGCCCGCCCAGCGAATGCGGCACTCCGAATCAACCAGGTAGACATAACCGACCTTGGAATTCATCATGCCAATAGTCTCCTTCAGTGACTGGTCGAAGCCCTTCTGCACAAGGAAGTAGCGCGAATGCTGCTGCGCTGGCAACTTCTGCCGCATCCGCCACATGAAGGTCTTGACCAGAAACGCCTTCAACCGGTTCTCCTCGAGGTTGATATCAATCCTCTGCACATGTCTTCCGCCGCTAGCCAGCGCCTCTACAAGTCCCGGGTTCTGCTTTGGCCCCGTAAACGTCGCAACTTGGCTTTCAGCCCACAAGCTTGAGAATAAGTTTACGACGGAGATGCTGCCGCGGAGCTGGGTTGTCGTGTTCTGGGGATCCTTAGGTGATGCCAGAGTTATGCCGTGCATGTTCGGGAAGTAAAGGGCTTTATCGGCTTTGAACAGCCGTGGGTTCGAGACAAAGGTCTTGCCCTCGGCGAAGCGGAGATTGGACCATTCGCGGAAATACGGCTTGGCGACTTGTTTTGTCCTGTGCGTTGTCGTTGCTTATTAGCACTACTCCTGCCGGCTTTAGGCTATATCCTGGGGTGTAAGGAAGTGGAAGAGGAGGAGGAAGAGGTGGACTCGTACAGTTCCCTGCGCCGCTTGATGTGTCGGTCATAGTTGGTGAAGTCGTCGCGCCGCTGGCGCATCGACCGCGTGTCAATACCTGTGTTCTGTCCTTCTAATGGTGCTTGCGGGCTCCCGATAGGTCGGTCTAGGGTTGGAGGAACAAAGTCTGCGTCGCCGGGCTGAGGCCCATTCTGGTTCTGTTTGAATTCGATGGCAGTCGGTAGGCGGTGTCCCTCGTTTCTTATGGTTCTTTTTACGGGAGCGGGGGTAGCGGACTTGTCGTCGACGGTTTCTCCGGGCTTGCTGGAGTATTGGCGCAGAGAAAATGGTTTGGTCCGTAGCTTGGAGAGAGTTGTTGGGTTGCGAAATTGGCAGCTTAGACAGCGGCCGGTCTGCAGGAGGGAGAGGTCGGTCACCAAGGTGGGGAGAGCAGATTTCCACATATTGGCTGACGGTCTATCAGTCAATTGACTCTGTGTAGGGTGGATTGTGAGGTTCTTGCTGTCGAACTTCGCGCATTTGATCTTCCATGGAAACCGATAGTCACATGATATGACATTTCCATTTTGGAAACACTGGTTGATGCTAATCCTGTTCTGGGGGTGATATAGCGTAGCATATATGTTGTAGGACCGAGGATATACAAATAGAAGACTATCTAGTTCCCATGCAACTCTCATACTTGGATCATACATTACTTTGGCTCTAGGTCACCTTGAACACCTTCCAATTTAGTCAGCCACGTGACCTGGCGCCCATTTCGCGCTCAATCGCGTCCACGGGTCATTCAATGTGGCCCAGAGAAGTTTTCGGACCATTACCCTTTCCCTTTTCCCTTTTCTCTTTTCTCTTTCCTCTCTCAGGGATTATACGAGTTATCCGTGGTCCGGTCACTCTAGGCATCTATATAATGTATCCCAGGTCTAGGCATCCGTCCCTCCATTGGATTCCGGACTAGCTTACCATGGAGGGCCATTTTCCGACTAAACTGGCATTTTTTGCGGCTCTTGACCGGCTGGATGATTTGGACCAAGATGAAGAGGATCAGAGCTGGGAGAGTCTCTTGATGTTAGAAAACAAAGAAGTCGACAAACCTAATACAAACAAAGTCGCATTTTCTTCGGAACGTATGCCACTTCCTCGAGCGAATCCGGACCCTTCCTATTCGCGTGAGACTGGAAGAGCGAGAAGCCCGGTCGCTGTCTCCAAGCTGACTTCTGCCAACCGCCCTCGGACGACTGGCACCATGTCTACTATCAAGAGCGGAGGACCTCCTCAAAAGAAAAGAAGGACCAATAGTGCTAAGATAGTCCCAGATGACCAGCAGATCTTCAAGGGTTTAGTTTTCTGTGAGTAATTCGGAACTCTCGCAGCCAATTCTCACTAAAATCTCGGTGCTAGTCTTCTTCCCAAACAACGATGTATCTCCCTTCCGACGATTGCGCATTCAACGAGCACAGGATTATGGTGCACGATGGAGTCGAGAATGGGGCACTGATGTCAGTCATGTCATTATTGACAAAGGCTTGCTTTCAAGCGATCTCCTTACCTACCTCAAACTCGAAGCTTTGCCAGTCAGTACATTAGTCAGATAATCAGACTGCCGTACTAACTGTTGCAGACGAGTGTTGCGCTTGTTAATGAAACCTACCCATCCGAATGTATCCAGTTTCGTTCAGTTCTTGATACCTCACAGCTCCGCTTTCGTGTCAATGGGACACCCACAGCCACAAAGAAGTCTTCAATGGCAGAGCCACCTGATTCCCTTCCATTGAAACCAACTCGGCGGGAGAAAAACCAGTCACCAGAACGTTGTTTGTCTCCAATCAAGAAGCCGACGCCAAATCCCTTGTCAAAAGACTTCACAGACCCCGTGCCCGAAAGTGTGTCCCACGCCGTGACCTCCGAACCGGTCCATGGAACTGCAACCGATGAGGCGTGTAAAAATGGAAACTGGGAGCGAGATGCACTGGATGATATAATGGATGAGGCCAAGGCCACAAGTCATCTGGTAAAATCTCTTCTCTATCAGGGAAAGCTCAAAAACCGATCTTGATAACTAGCCTCTAGATCCATTTGACTTTCCCATTGACGAATTTGCTGCTGATGCCTCCGACATCGAAACCTCGAGCTCAGGGGAGGAGTCGATTTGGAAGACGCGAAAAACATCCGTAGGAGAAGGCAAAGGCAAAAACAAACCTGACTGGACCAAAGGTTTCGCATGTATGCAGAAGTTCGATCCGGACAGGAAATTTGACAATCCGAACAATAGGACCATCGAGGTACTTCAGCAAATGCTGGAATACTATACCCAGACTGCAGACCAGTGGCGGGTTATGGCCTACCGCAAAGCCATCACCGCATTGCGAAATCAACCAGACAAGATTACCACACGAGCACAGGCTCGAGCCATCCCTGGTGTTGGAGAACGGCTGGCTGACAAGATTGAAGAAATCGTCTTGACTAACCGCCTTCGTCGCCTCGAAAATACGAACAAAACCCCAGAAGATTTGCTAATCCAAGAATTCCTCGGCGTCTATGGTGCTGGTCTTCCCCAAGCCTCCAAATGGGTCGCGCAGGGCTACAGATCTCTGAAGGATTTATTGGAAAGAGCTACATTGACTAAGCAGCAGCGTATCGGGGTGGAACGCCACAGCGACTTCGCGCAACGAATCCCCCGCAAGGAGGTTGAAACCCACGGGGCAATCGTGCGAAAGGCGGTGCAGGCCGTGGATAGGGATATGCAGGTGATAATAGCGGGCTCTTACCGCCGCGGGGCACTCACCTGCGGGGACGTGGACTGTCTAATCACCAAACCCGGTGCCTCGCTGGAGCAAATCCGGACCATCATGCTTGGTCTTGTTGTCCCCAAATTGTTCAGCAGTGGCTTTCTGAAGGCCAGCCTTGCCATCTCGTCGCACCAAGATGGATCTAAGTGGCACGGTGCATCGGCTCTACCTGGCACCACCCTGTGGCGTCGGTTAGATTTGCTGTTCGTTCCTGACGCGGAGATCGGAGCGGCGTTGATATACTTTACCGGGAATGATATATTCAACCGTAGTATGAGATTGCTTGCACGCAAGAAAGGCATGTGCTTGAACCAAAAGGGTCTTTACGCGGATGTGCTTCGGAACCAGCAGGTGAAACTGAATGGAGGCCGACTGGTTGAGGGCCGGGATGAACGCCGAATTTTTGCTGTGTTGGGCGTGCCCTGGCGGCCTCCCGAGCACCGGATCGGTTGACGCACATTCTACGGCATAGGATAGTCTCGGTTTCACCCATGGGTTCTTGAGAGAGTTGAGAATTACACGATACGATGACAACAATATTCTTAGTGTTAGTACCAGCTACCCAAAGTATAGACCGATTGAAATTTTGGAGGAAGCATCGAGAATATATTATGTGGGCACAGGAATGACAATATCTTTGGACTGGTGGTTCTCCTACATGTAGGGATAGTATGATAATGATTCGTATTGCTTTGCATCAAGTTGATACATACGAAGTACTCCAAAAATAAAATAAAATAAAGAAAATGAAATGACACAGCTTGCATAGCTGCCCACACATAGAGTTTCCATACAGAAGGGGAGAGAGAGAGAGAGACTCAGAGGGCAGAGGCAGTCACAGTGGCACAAAGTGACTAAGAATTCTTCTCCCTCCAATACTCACCTTTCTTCTTCAACCTCATCCCGTAACAACTCATCCTTTCCCTCGTCCCATATTCAATTTGATATTCGAGATATTCTTCTTCTTTCATCACCGCCTTTCTCCTACCGCCTTGAAGACATCACCGCCTTTCGTGCGGTGAAGCCTCCATCGCGTGTTCCTCCCCTTGCGACTCCCAGACCGCCCTCTACTGCCCTGCGTTTTGCCCGCACATCGTGAATTCACTCATCTTGAGATTTGTCTTTTTAATCCGTTTCAAGTCTCTTTTGAGGCTAGTGGTCCTATCTGAGGTTCACAGCCTGGGCCTCCCAGTCCCCTGTGACTGTGTGCGTGACTTTTCTCCCACATCCCACATTCCACGTTTTCTAACTCGAGTCCACAGACATATCAGCTTGGCGGGACTCACTGCTCATTCTGAGTGAGCGACACGTCGATTGCTCTGTTCAACTATTTACTGTCACTTGAATATTACTTGACACGTGAATTACCCTCGAAAACACGTCCACAACAAACCCCCACAATGGGTCGCAAACCCAACCAACTCATCCTCGAGTTCTTCCACCGGGGTCCCAAGCTGGAAGACGCGAGCAATCGATACCAACATACGTGCAAAGCCTGTGGCGAGGTATTTCCCAAGGGTCGCATTGATAGTCTTACCAATCATCTGGTGAAAAAATGCCAGGCGATTCCCCTACGCGACCGCCAACGCGTGTTGTTGCGCCTCCATGAACTCCCCGACTTGACCGACGGAGACTCGAACAAAGATTCCCCTTCTGGAAATAAAGGCAAGTCCGGCGATGGTGGATTCCCCAACCGACAGAATTTCGATGGCCTCAATGTGTTGGCCGAGGCCTCGCGACAGGTGGGTGCTTCGGACGTGACCAAGCGCGGACCGGGATACACTCAGTCTGTGACAGCTGGAGGCAAGACCGTGATTGTTGACCCTGCGCTTGAAGCGGAGGGATTCCAAGGACACTCACAAACATCTGACTCGAAGATGGAGGGTACAGCAAATGCCGAGGGTATGTTTTCCGTTTGTTCGCTGTAGCACGCCCTAGACCACTAACAATTTGTAGGAACTCCTCAATCATCCAACGCTCCTAGTATTCCTGCCCTTCCAAGTCACACTCCAGGCGAGCATCCTTCATCCATGTCTCCGCCTCTTGGTGATGCGTCCATGTCGCCCGAATCTACCTCTAATGCGCGCCAGTCACAACTGTCGATGATTGCAGCTTCCGCCAATGAGATGGTCCCTCAAGGAATGTCAATTGACAGTGACAACCTCAGCTCTGATATGAAGCTGGGCCAATGGCAGCAGTTGTCCACACATGAGCAACTTCTCTTTGACAGCCTGCAAGAGCATGATCCCTCGTTGACTGCCGCCACCCAGCGTGCGGCGTCTTACCCCCGCCCTATTGCCATGAACCCAAATACCCAGGCCAAAGGATTTGTGAACGAGTTTGGTAACTCAACCAAGCCTATGAAACCCAAGGTGCGGGGACGTTTCACTGCAGAGCGACGCCGCGAAGTCCAAGACGTGCGGAAGAAGGGTGCATGCCTTCGTTGCCGAATGCTTAAAAAGCCTGTATGTATTTGTTAATCTCTGGATGTGTGAACCAAGTGAATATCACTGACAAATTTTGATAGTGCTCTGGCGATACCCCTTGCACGACTTGCGCCAGCGTGGAGAGTGCTCGTCTATGGAAGCACCCGTGCCTGCGCACCCGACTTTCGGATGAGTTTGAACTTTACAATGCTAGTACGTCGATTAAATTTTGCTTTTTTTTGATGATATACTGACTTGGACCCTAGATCTCAACTCGACACTTGCCTACCATGACACGAACAGCATCAAAAACCAAATCAAATTTGAACACTACTCCGGTCGCATTGAAGTTACCCACTTCGAGGAGAGCAACTCTTTCATGACATTCAGTGGACTTCAGGGTCACCGCAATTCTGTGTCTGCACTTGACCCTCAATTGCAAGCCCTTGGAGATGACCAGTTCTCTGGTCCTTCGCAAGAAGTCTACCTCCTGGACGCCGACTCGGATGACATCCCAAACAAGTTGGAGATGTACATCAAGAAGAATGCTTCTTACTTTTACGAGCGAGAGACCTCGCCTTTCATGAAGCCCACTCTGCTTCTTGCTGCTGAGCTCAGCCAGGGAAAAAAGGTATGCCATGTAATATTCAGTGAAAATGTAAAACGTGCATTAACAAGTATACAGGACATCCTTCTGGAACGTGTCTTGGAGTTGTGGGTCGCGACCCATATTCTCGTCGATACCGAACTCACCTGGAAAACTTACTACAACCCTACCCTGCCCCCGAACTCGCTGCACTCCCTTTCCCAGCCATCGGATGAGGGCCGCTTGCCCATCGAGGAAGTATCTGACCCAGAGTCATACGGGCTTCTCTGCAGTCAGTTGCGTGCCGCTATGGAGAAGCGGGCCTCTCAGCTGAGTAAGTTTGTCATCAATGATTTGGAGCGTCGACTTCTTCAGCGCCAGAAGTGTGGCTGGTTCGATACTTTCATTGTTGCTATTATCCTCCTGAACTGTGTGGAGCGTACCTGCTGGCTGTTCCGCTCATGGGACAACGAGAACTTTTCTCAGCGCGTAAGTGGTTCATGTCTATTCATGATGTATCCCACACTAACAAACCCTCCAGTGGCCCCTTGACAAGCGTCCCCCTTATTACTTCAACCAGTCCGACCGCTTCGCCGACATCCTGGAGATGCTTTTGCGCATGCGTCACATCCCTCCCAAGGCCACTTTCCGCCCAGACAATGGTATTCTGAAGGCAGTCGACGGTAGTGACGAGCATGCCGTCCGCTGGTTTGATATGATTCAAATTACCCGTACGTCACCCCATATTGTGGCACAGCTTGCACATATTTGAAGTTCCCTAACTGACATTCTTTTTCTGCACAGCCTACTTCATCGAAGAACGCAAGAACGCCGTCTTCGACCCATCCGATTCGCGCTCCCTTGATTGCCACCACAGTGCCAGTCTCCTTGAGCCCAACAACGCTACCTAGCTTCCCACAGAAATCAATCAAATCACGAAAAGCCAAAAATCATCACAAAAATCGAAAAACCACAAAACTTCGAAAAAAAAAGGAATCAACAACAATGTCCGAGTCGAGTCCACCTTTTTTCGTCCTTTGCCTTGTCAGTGTAGGTCAATTGCTGGTGAAACTTGCCATTACGAAAGCGATAGCGAAATGCATGGCATCAGTCCAAGCCTTTGATATGAGGCTGGTCTTGGGTCTGATTTGCTTATGGAGTTTGTTTGCAGGTGGATCTATTTTCAAGCGAACTGCGATAGAAGATATCGGAATCCATGTGGAACTGATATCTCTAATTGGGTGTTCGTGGGTGTTGAAGGCTTTTTTTTTTGTTATATCTGTAGCTTTAAAGCTTCATTTGTTAGGGTTGAATGTATGAAATCAATGTTATCTCCAGTGTTCAGTAGGTTGCACGTGCACCGAGGTTAGCCAGCCAGGAACTGGATCAGGGACCAACTCAAAGACCAGACGGATTGTACTGAATCAAGAGATCTAGACAATTCTTATTGGCTGATTCTTTGAACTTTCATTATTTTCATAACTTCGGATGACGTAGGGAATCGAACGATTTGTTTCACCTTTAACCCTTTCACAAGACATCCGATACTTCACTTCTTCAACTATGCCTCCATTTCGCAACTTTCTAGGACGAAAGTCCCAACCCAATGGGGATCCCACTGTCTCAGATGAGAACTTACTCTCTCCAAATCAACGTCCGACCCCTATACCAATTCGCAGTAGCCAGGATGAACCCTCCGAGTACAAATTGAGTGGTATGTTTGACTCCCCGCACTGTTGTGACTGCAGATGACTGCAGTGGCTGCAGTGGCAACTTGGCTTCCTGAAAATACTAACCTCGGTCCCTAGTGGTCAACGACAGCGGTGTCTATCTTCCGGTATAGGCTGTTTGATTAGAGATAATGCGATACACCTGCTAATTATTGCGACAGCCTTCTCCTCCCGAGCGGCCAAGTTTCTGGCGCCGGTATCCGGGCTCCAACAAATCCACCCACCATCGAGATCTTGTTGATGAGAATGAGCCTTTCTCCATCTCTCGCGAGTCCTTTGACTCTTATCGCCGATCATTTGTATGCCCCGCGATCCGGTCCGATCCGTCTAAATCCAACTGACACAAAATCTTCAATCTAGGATATATCCGCCCGCTCCCCTATAATTCATCCCGATGCTGGCCCCTCTCGAACTTCTCTCGACTCTCGATTCTCCCGATTAACTCCGTCGGGAACTCAGTCCAGCAGCTTCACCAAGCCGGATCCCATGGAGGAAGAAGCCTTCGAAGAAGTAGGCCTCAACGACGAGGTGAAGCCTAAGAAGAAGGGTTTCCTCTCTAGATTCGGCGACTCTACTAACGATGCACAATCGCCCGGGCCCAAGTCTTCTACCTCCTCTTTCAACTTCCACATTCCCAGTCGGAAGCGCGGTCAGAGTGGTGTCGGATCGGAACTGGGGGCTGTGAAAGTAACTCCCGCTGTGACTGCGCCC